CAGCATTTTTAAATTGCCGATAACTTCTTGGAAAGTCGAGACAGAGCAGACAATAGAACCAACAACAGAGACATTAGGTCTATGAATGCTTCATACACAATTCATAGAGGCCTATTCTAGCGAATTTATGCGATCGCGTCCTTGATTACCCTCTCTTCCATTATTTGCGAGAAATAAAATAGAATCATCATAGTGGACTGGGCCAACAAATCGCCCAAAGATCTCACTCCATCCAATCTTTTGAATAAAATACCAACTTTATTTGGGCCTAGGTTTGAATTTTATAAGAACATAGAACAATTTTTACAAATAGTTTGTGGTAAAAGAGCAGATTGTAAGAGAGTAAGACAAGACAGATTCTTTCTCTGTTCTTTATGAAATATCCCACGAAAACCTTCGAAGCTCTTTAAGAAAGGTTCCTCCAAATGCAGAGTTTATGTTTGAAAACAATGCTTTAATGCCCATAGTATAATCCCCAAATCCGATAAAGTTTTCACTTAATACGCCAAAATTTTTAAAGGATATAAAGGAGATACATGTAAATTAAAAATAAACGAGTGGCCCCACAGTCTCCCAATCTAAGTCCTAAAGAATTATTGGAATGAATTGGATCAGCGAATTAGGGAATTGAATCTCCATTATTGTGGATGATCATTATGAGGATTTCTCTTTCTGTCCGTCTGCGTTTATGGTACGCCTGATTTAAAGCTGCCGTAACCGCCAAGGTCAATAAAGAACAAAAATTTAGACTCGTTCCACTACTCGGTTACAGGAATTCAGAGTAAATCGCCGACATTATACTACATATGCTAACGAAGCAAGCAGAACAATTATCTTTCAAGATTGTTGACCTGTACACTCACATCACAGCAACCTCTCCTCCCACGAACACTCAGGTTGTGGAATGAGCTCCCTGTCGAGGTTTTCCTAAGAGACTACATGGGGTTCTTCAAAAGGGGGGTAAAGAGGTTTCTTCAGGGCCGGCAACGCACGCGTATCACCTCTGGTATTGCAGGCGTTCATGGGCTACGGTAACCGCTTACCATCGGGTGGGCCGTATGCTTGTTTGCCACCTAAGTGGTATAAAAAATAACCAGACTACCGCAGATCGCGTTTTTCTGTGTACTCTAAGGTCTAGGACCCTGTTTAAAATTATGAGGTCAGTATATCTGTATCCTGGGGCTCCACCTGCGTATATCGATTGGGATATACGCTGGCGGGGCACCATTGAGATAATATAGGACAATTCTGGACATTAACGAGGAGATTTACGCAACTTGCCATATTGTTGTACAAAATTTTTAAGTTAGTATAATAAACCTATGGCTCATTACAGGTTTTGGTATACTGTAAGCGTAGTGAGTAATTTATAAATAAATAAATTAATTAATAATGGAAGCTCGTCACATACGCTTTGTTTCGTCAATTAATTTAGTGTGTATACACAATCTTTGAGTAAATTATATCAAATTATTTCTCATCCAATTTAAAATGGTAAAGTATAACATTTCCAAACCATATGGAAGGAGAAGCTCTGGCGATCACTTTAAGAACGAATGACTCCATCGACTGTTGCTAGCAACTCGACCAGCCGGCCAATTTTGTAGGTATAATAATAATAATAATAAGATACTGCCCGCATTGTACGCCGGTTTCTCTCCCTGGGGCCCTGAACCCCGGCCGACTGTGCTTCTGCCGGGGGTTAGTTGCCATCTCCTCTCCTTAAGAGGGGAGATGAGAAGTTTAGTAAAATTTAAAAAATAATTTATTTATTTGCTTGAAATGTGATAATAATAATGGTCTTAAATATTACATATACACATTTCGCCTTATCTAAAGGCATGCAAATTTAGTATTATAATATAGCGGCGTATATTTATAGCCCAGTAGGATCAGTCCATAAATATTGGCAGCCGCATATACTCTTATTAACTTTATTTTTTACTTTTTCCATATGGTTTTGTCTGAATATACGATTTACCAAGACGTGCGTTGCTGTCATTGTTCCCCAACCACAACCGTCACCCATGAAGATTCCATGGCAAAAACTACTATAGCTTCACGGAGAACGAGACAAAATTATAAACAACAATCCGATACTGTGTCTATGAATGTATTAAATATACTAGTCAATAGTACTTTTGACTGGTTAAGAGTTTTCACTGCAACACGTTTCGTTGTAACAGACAATTTTCAGTTGGCCTATACGGAAAGAGAAGCTTTGGCGATCGTTTTAAGAAAGAATATCGTGCCAGTGTCGTAGACTCCGTGGCAAGTAGAGCACTTGCACAATGAACAAACCACAGTAAGCTCACGGAAAAACAAAAACGCAAATAGCAACGCGAACCAAATCCAAGAATATATTAAACAAAATCTATTGAATATGGTAAGTTTGAAGAAGATTTTTTCATGAATACATTCTTTGATTTCTTGGAAAGTCGAGACAAAAAAAAATACAGGGCCAACAACGGAGATGCTGCATGTATGAATGCTTTATACACTATTTACAGTGGACTGGTGTCACTAAGAAACACAAGAAAACAAGAGTTCGTTAAGAGATATTTATTATTTAGTTTCTCTTTTTATTGTTATTATAATAAGTGCTAAATAACCCAACTGTAATCTTTTCGAGTGATCAATAAATTAAGGAATAATGCGCCACATGCGCGGTAATGGACTATTGTTAATGAATTGACACCTGGAGTGCTATTCTCTAAGCAAACAGCCTAGAGATCAGCCTTGGCGCAGCGATGAAATATTGAAATGGTATTCACTAATTCCTAAGACGCGACACTAGCGCCCAAAGACGAGCTCAAAGACGAGCGGCGTAAACGGGAACTACTCAAGGCTGTGCGATTTGACATTTTGTCATAGTATTTGGTATTCACTAACAAAAATCAGCCTCGCCTTCGCCGACAGCCTAGCCTACAGCCTCGATTTCTTATGTCAAAATCAAAAGCTTTGTTTTCTACGCTGTTTACATAGTATTCAACTAATATATTTATTTGTTTCTTGAATTCTGTGATATTTAATAGCATTGAAATTATCAATTTGTGTATAAAAACGATGGCTGCTTGTTTATGTATAATGATCCATTTGTTAGAAGAAACTAAAAAAGATGATGATTACAAAAAACGACGACTAACAAGGCAGTTGCGAAATACGCGCACAATTTTACGTGATGTGGATTATATTCGACATTACAGACTGTCTGAAGACCTAATTAATATGTTGGAAAGTGAATTAGCACCATATATGCCTGTGTGCCGCCGTTCCGGAGGTTTGTCACTCAGGCTAAAGGTTTGTAATTTCAACTTTACTGTTTGATATTATTATGTAAATAAAATAATAATCATTAATTTTTTTTTTTGTAGATATTATGTACTTTGTCATTTTTGGCTAATGGAAGTTACCAAAAACTTATTGGAAATAATTAAGATACTTTAATCTCTCAACCATCAGCATCCAGAGCAATTCATCAAGTTATAGATGCGTTAAACAATATAAATATTGTCCAGAAATATATAAGATTTCCACAAAATTCTTAAGAAAGGCAAGCTTTAAAACAAAAGTAGTGAGTGATCTGACAGAACAAAAAAAATTTATAATTCAACTGTATTTTTTTGGAATGGTCAATAACAAATAGTATTATATTTTTATTTTCTGTTTTCTCTCTTATTCTTAACATTTCTCTCTGCAATCATTGCCGGGAACATGGTAATCTTGCAAGGTTTGGAAAAAAGTACTGCCTCTTCAGCGCATAAATTGTGCCGAGGCCAAAAAATATTTGTATGTTCACTGATGGTAAAACATAACGCAGACATAACTATGACCCGCATATTACAGTAATAAATAATTCTAAGAGGCCGCTGATAGGGCGTCCTTCGAATTCGGGAATGGTATACAGCAGAGATCGCCAGTTCGGGGGCCGACCACATACTCATTTGTTGCAGTATCCGGCCGTACCTTCCTAATGCTCCTCAAATATTGCGTCTAAACTGCGTCCACCATGTACCCTCTTGTATAGGCGTTCCGTCACCCATATCCAATAGCGAGGACGGGATGCCTTAAATACTTTACCGCAAACCATAAAAAAAGTTAAGTTAGTGTATACGAAAAAAGAACCTTTGGCGATCGTTTTAAGAAAGAATATCGTGCCAGTGTCGTAGACTCCGTGGCAAGTAGAGCACTTGCACAATGAACAAACCACAGTAACCTCACGGAAAAATAAAAACACAAATAGCAACGCGAACCAAATCCAAGAATATAATAAGTAAAATGTATTGAAAATGGTAGGTTTAAGAAACAATTTTTCATGATTACATTCTATGATGACTTCTTGGAAAATCGAGACAAAAAAATACAGGGCCAACAACGGAGATGCTGCATGTATGAATGCTTTATACACTATTTACACTGGACTGGTGTCACTAAGAAAGAACTGTTCAAGTTTGCATTCTCCTACACTGTAGATACTTCTCGGATAATAAGCTGAAATAAAAAAAGCACATACACACACACATACAAAGGGAGAGAGACTACATTTATGAAACATTATTTCAATCTCTGTTTCTAATACTTTATTTTTTATCAACCATATTTCTTATTTTGTTCCCTCGTGTCATTTTATTCTACTTTGAATGTAAAAAATAACCGCTTTATTTCATTATACACAATTCGTCGAGAAAAAATTAAATATTTTTGTAGATAATTTTCAGTTGGCTTATACGGTAAGAGACGCTTCGGCGATCATTTTATGAAGGAATGAGGTCTCCAAAAAATACAAAAATACAAAAATATAATCTCAGGAATCCTCAAGAAATAGTAGACTGGGCCAATAATTAACCCAAAAATCTCACTCCATCCAACCTTTTTGATAAAATATCAACTATATTTGGGCCTAGGTTTTAATATTAAAAAAATATTGAACAAATTTTACAGGTAGTTTATGATAAAAGAGCAGAATGTGTGAAGGTGAGAATTCTTAATGAAACATCCAATAAAAACATTCAAAACACTTTGAGAAAGGATCCATCAAATGCAGACTTTTTATTTGACAACAATACTTGCTCTATATATAAAAACATGTCATCTGTGAATGCTTTAAACATCATGCCGAGAAGTGATACTCATCACGTAGAATTAACTTCTTCACCGCTGGATCTTTAATTTCATTTAAATCATGGAAACTTTCTGAAAACGGGGTGAAATTACCCTAATTTTGATAAATATCGCGACAGTGTAGCTCGAAATCTTTTTTCTTGCATGGACGGGACACCCTGATTCTATGCAGCTTGTTCGAATACGCACTTGGTCTCGGAAAGCTGTTACTGTTACTCCTCAGTTTTGAGAAGTAATTTGTTTTGTCAATTTAATTTCTTTTTTTTTATATTTTAATAAAGTGAGTAAATTAAAGATAAAACCATAAACTACGAAGAATAAATATAATACGTCAATATTTTTTTTTATTAAAATATAAATAGGAACCGATCAATAGTTTTTTTTTAAGAAAAAGTACAATAGTTGTTCGTTCGTTCGTTGTAATACACAATTGTGAGTTACTTTATACGGAACTAGAAACTTTGGCGATCTTTTTTGAAAGAAGAACGTCCTCAGTATCGTAAACTCCGTAGCAAGTAGAGCTACCTGATTATACCACAATAACTTCACAGAGAAAACAAAAATATAATTCGCAATACAAACTAAATCCAGGAATACATTGAACACAATTTATTAAAGATGAGAAAAATAAGAAACTACATTTCATGAACGCATTCTGTGAGGATTTCTTGAAAAGTCGAGACCAAACAAAAAACAGGACCAACAACGGAGATGCTGTATCTATGAATGCTTTATACACAATTTATAGAGGAATGTTACAACTACAATAAGAAACAGCTGTCTAAGTTTTTATTCTAAATGTAGTCTGAAATGTAATTTAGTCTAGCACGTAGATGGAAGCTCTAAAAAGATCAATCTCATTATTTTATATTTTCATTTAGTCTTTATCTATGAAATTTAAGTTGTCATTATCTAAAATGTCAATGTGTAGCTGTCAAGGAAATGTCACTTGGATTTTCTTACTCTGTGCTCTGTTGGAATAGAAAATATCGGTGTAACTCAAGTACAGCCCGATCTCTACATCACCTTTTTTTTTATTGTTCTGAATTTGTCATCCAAAGACACATTATGTTTGACGAACTTCAAATTATCTTCAAAAAACCCGAAAATATCCCGCACTCAATCCCGCTTCTCTTAAGATTTCCTTCTTGTTTCAAAGCTATTTTCACTTATATTACTACAACATTCAAGGAGCTATAAGAATACTTTTATTGAATCGCAAGACAATGATTTTTTACAATTACTTATTTTTAATTTGATAAATCCACTGGTTTAAGAAAACTCAAGAAAAGAAATTTATGAAAATGTACTTAACGGATCTGACAAATGAAATATTGAAGATTATGACTGAATAATTGAAGCGACATTAGAAAAATAAAATTCCAGACAAATTATCATATTGAAGTCTAGGCAGCATGGTATCCGACCTTAGCCTGTTTTACAACGGAACAGACTTACTAAAAAAACAAAAAAAAAAAAAAGAAAATCTCGTTTTAAATTTGCTATGGTAATCTTGTTGCCAAATAAATATATATTTTTGATAATGAGGACTCATTCTAACTAATAGTGTCAAAGACTCTTTAATAGAATATATATTTTCAAATACTTTATTGTACACTCTGATAGTACATAAAAACATGACAGAGGTAATCTAATGTACAAAGGCGAGCTTAACTCGAAAAGAAATCTCTTTCAGCAACACCCAAAGTGGAAAGGAGCATCTATGTCAGCGAATAGAACGGTGTACAACATCGGGACAATTTACAAACAGAAAAAAAAACAAGATCTAATATTTCCAAAGAAATATCGTCTTATATTAAGAAGTATCTACAGTAGATGAAAACTTCTTGGACAATAAGGCAAAATAAAAACACACTGCTTTTATAAAAGCTTTCTTTTCTCTCTTTTTTTTTTTTTAATATTTTACTTTTATATTAACTATATTTACGCAAATATCAACAAAATACAGCAAACCAAAAAACAATTTTATAAACACATTAAACTTTTTTTTTTAAGTATATTAATACTTTAGGACACGGAATCGTGTTTTAAACAAGTATGTTTTGCACCACAAGGAAGCTATTACAACTGTGAAAATAAATACACACCGATGTACGGACGAGTAGCTACGTAGACAGATTAGATTGAAAACATTTAAATTTAGAATACTGAAACGTGTGTCTATAAATGGGTAAATATTGCCTCGCAAAAAAAAAACTCGAATCATGACAAACATAGCAAAGTTCCCAAACTTTGTTTTTGGCGGATGCACTTTGTACCGTGCCATAAAAAAAAAAGCAGCAAAGAATAATATAATATTAAATTTTTTTTATTATTATTATTTTTATACTTAGAATCCTGAATTGTATTTACAAACAAGTATATTTGCTTCACAAAAAAGCGACTACAATCTGACAATAAATACACACCAACAAACGGACGGGGGGAAAGGGATTGTTAGTAATGGAGACTAAGAATCCCATTGCTAGCAATATACCCAACCAGGTCGACCTCCTCGCGGTTCCCCCCGGAAACTATCATGGTTAATTCCTGATGAATCCATCATGATGGGCTAACTGGCCTGTTTTCATTCTCACCTATCACCCTTCACTGGTGCTCCGCCAGCGTATCCCGTTAGCGCAGGCGGGGTTACCAAGCCATTTTCACCCATCAAAAAAAACCCAGTGTAGTTAGAGAGAAGATAATTTAATTTGTGTAATCCAGCGCGGGAAAGGTACCGGTGAAAATAATGTAAATACAACAAACACAAATTGTGAATAAATATGTAAATAAATAAATATATATATATATATATATATATATATATATATATATATATATATATATATATATATATATATATATATACATATGTATAAGTGCATAGAATTATCATGTACAATTGGTTAAAAGATGTGATTTAGATCTTCTCTTGAATTTTTTATATTTATTGACGTTGTTATGCCGCGATTTATTTTTATTGATACATTGTTATTGTTTGTTAGAATCTCACTAGATGGCTCTATACTCATAACGCTATTTGTTGTCAAAGCGATGTTTTAATGTTGTCAAAAAAATGCTCGGTCACGGGGCTAATGGTTGAGGAGCAGGCAGCTGCGTTCCTCTTAAAACATTTCTAAAAGCTTAACTGCAGTTGCCAAGCCTGGTAGCTGCTGGCAAAACTCCCTTTATGGGGAATGCGTATGCCCAGCGGTGGACATTTGATTATTATCACATTTATTTCTTATATTTGATAATTTCGCGTAATTACAGTTTTACGTGCCATCATAATTAAACATTATAATTAATTTAATAATTAATTTAAATAAATAAATCATTTTATGTTAAATCTATCAGAAAATAACTTCATATTGATTTTTACTCCCCAGTAGGGAGAGGCGTATGTTCAGCGGTGAACAATTAACAGCTATATATATATATATATATATATATATATATATATATATATATATATATATATATAATTTTAATGACAAATCAAGATCACTTTTATTGTGCAAGCTGTTCGACCATGGAACAGTCCACCAACCTCTATACAAACTATACAGTACCTACATGTTTTTAAAACAAAAGTCGAGGACTTCTCTGAGCGAATGTGTCATTTAAATTCGATTTCCACTGTCAATCAGATAGCTCGTCAGCACTCATACCATTGCATGTTTTATAAAAAAAAAATAGTCAAGTATTAAAAAAAGGAACTAATTATACCAGATAAAATATGAAGACTAGGCAGCATGGTCTCCGACCTTAGCCTGTTCCACAACGGAACAAACGTACTTAAAAAAAAAAGAAACTAATTTCCCGCGCTTTTTCCTACTCTGTACACTTCGGCCGACGTTTCCTTGTACGCGGCGGCATTGGTAATTTCATGTGTACTGTTTTAATGTGCATTTTGACACAAGACGGCGTCTGAAAATACTTCTGACACAGATGACACTGGTGTGGTTTCACACCGAGGTGGACCTGAAAGCAAAATTCATTACAGTGAACACTCTACATAAGCAACCTTCTTTATATTTTATTTATTCTACTGAACTTAGTAAAAGAAATAAGTAAAAATTGTTTTCCAGACAGTAAGTATTTTTTATACTCCTTTTTTCCCTATAAGCAACTTTTTTTTATACAACTTAGAATGGCAAACAAGCTGACGGCCCACCTGATGGAAAGTGGTAACCGTCGCCTATAGACATGAGAAGTACCATGGACATAACAGAATATACTGTTTCGCACATGATACCCCCCATGCGTTGCCATTCCTGAGGACTCAGGTGTTATTCCTCTGTACCCTGTAAATTCACTGTCATATCCCACCCTTCAAACCGAAACACAGCCATGCAAACACAACTGTTTCACGGTTGAAATACGAATGGGACAGAGGTACCCAAGCAAACGACTTTTGTACAAAGTCTCCCTCTGGTAGACTAGCTACTAATCTACTTGTCACTAGCAGCAACTGTAGTGGTAAAGCGTGCAACTTCAAGGCACTTTCTTCCACGCACAACCACTCTTTGGAATCAACTTCCAGCAGCAGTATTTCCGAACCGATACGACAACATAACCTTCAAGAAAAGAGCATATTCCTTTTTAAAAGGCCGGCAGCACACCTGCAATGCCGTAGGTGTTGTGAGTGATCATGGGCGGCGGTAGTCACTTACCATCAGGTGAGCCGCATGCTCGTTTGCCCCCTGTGTTGTAGAAATAAAACATATATTGTGGGCCAAAGTTTTTTTTAATGAATATTGAATGGAAACTTGGATGTCAGACATATCACGGGCGAAACAGTACACTCTGTTATGTCCACGGTACTGCTCATGTCTATAGGCGACGGTTACCACTCTCCATCAGGTGAGCCGTCAGCTTGTTTGCCATTCTAAGTTGTATAAAAAAAAAACCATCAGGTGAGCCGCATGCACGTTTGCCCCATGTGTTGTAAAAAAAAAATAAAAAAAACCTTACAGCCATAATATGTCGGGCCACCGCCCCTCGCAATTTGAATTTCTTCTTGCAGTGGTCGCATTCAAACGGTCGCTCGTTTGTATGTACCCTCATGTGACACTGGAAAAAAAATCATACATACATACATACATATCTGTCACGCCTGTCTCTCATTACGGTAGGCAGAAACAATGGAACGCCAAATGCTTCGATTCAAACAAACCTCTTTCGCTTCCTCCACATTCATCAATCTTTTCATACACGCTCGCCGGTTACGGGTACTTTTAATTTGGCCCTTCTTCAGCACGTCGCCTACTCGGTCGACACACGTCCGTCTAGGGCGGCCCCTACCGACATCTCCATTCATTCTTGCTCGATAAATCTCTTTCGTAAGCCTTCTTTCATCCATCCTCTCCAAATGGCCAAACCAACGCAACATTCCCTTTTCGATTTGTCACTACCATCGTCTTTCAGTCCACATTATTCATATATTACCAGAGGGAGACTTTGTACAAAAGTCGATTGCTTGGACACCTTTGTCCCATTCGTGTTTCAACCGTGAAGCAGTTGTGTTCGCATGGCTGTGTTTCGGTTTGGAGGGTGGGATATGGCGTGAATTTACTGGGTACAGAGGAATAACACCCGAGTCCACAGGAATGACAACCCACGGGGGGGTATCATGGGCGAAACAGTATACTCTGTTATGTCCACGGTACTGCTCATGTCTATAGGCGACGGTTACCACTTTCCATCAGGTGGGCCGTCAACTCGTTTGCCATTCTAAGTTGCATAATAAAAAATAGAATACCTGCAACGCTATCAGCACCCGGAAACGCTTGTTGCACACGCTGCACGTGAAGTCTTTCTCGTCCGTATGAATTTTAAGATGCGTTGGATACGCACTCTCCTAAAATCAAATGTATTTAGTAAAATTAGTACTAAGCACTGAGTCCAGTTACAAAATTAATTTCCAAAAATTCTCAATTGAGAGGCAAAAGTTAGACATTCCAGCAAGTTACCTCCATGTTCCATTTGTCTGCTAGATAGACTGTCATATCTGTCTGTTTACTGTACGGATAATCTGGTAGTATTGTTTTATCGTTACCCTATTCCCTTTGGCCGCGACAGAATATCAGTGCTTTGCTCTTTTGAGGGCGAAGCAACAAACTGAGTTGTGGCCATTTTGCATTGCTATGGCACACAACGTATAGTGTACGTAACATGGCGTACAACGCGGTTTCAGAGATGCTTTCTCCCACGAACACTCAGGTTGTGGAATGAGCTCCCTGCCGAGGTTTTCCCAGGAGACTACAGCATGGGATTTTTCAAAAGGGCGGTAAAGAGGTTTCTTCAGGGTCGGCAACGCGCGCGTAATACCTCTGGTATTGCAGGCGTTCAAAGGCTACGGTAACCGCTTACCATCAAGTGGGTCGTATGCTTGTTTGCCCCCTCGGTGGTATAAAAAAAAAAACTCACAAACGAAAATTGTATTTAGCTTTGTGTATTTTTTTTTATCATTTATGTTATCTCGCTTTTTTTTTTTGTATATGTATGTTGTAATTTGTGTGCTGTAAGTAAGTAATGCAAATAAATTATCTATCTATCTGTCTATCTATCTAAATTTCTGGTTATTATCCATCAAAAAAATTTGCACATATGATGGGAAAGTCCTTGTCAGCCCATTGTCAAACCTGTAATACCATCGATGACGTGCATCATATCCTATTAGAGTGTCGTGTTAACACGAAGGAAAGAGAAGAACTCATGCGCCACTTTAACTTGAATAAATTTAACGCTGGCCTTATTCAATCTATGTTAGCTGAACTTAAACCAGAAATTTTTTGAACATCTCTATAAATTATCGATGCCCATTAATTCTTCTCTTTCCGCGTCTAGGGAGAGTAGATAAAGTTTTGCTTGAGAAACCAGTTCAGGGTACGATAGGGCTGATATACCTGAAGAAGGTAAAAGCACTTGAAATAATATTAAAAAAAAAAGACCTTTGTGTGGTTTACACATATTTTAAATACACAATTGTTACTTGACGCGATGTAAAAGCCTTTGCAGGTCTTTTTTTTTTATAATGAACGATAATATAATGGTAAATGGTACCCTAGCAGGTGACCCTCGACGCGGTTCAATCTAGAATCCAGGGGGGAAAGGGATTGTTAGTAATGGAGACTGAGAATCCCATTGCTAGCAATATACCCAACCAGGTCGACCTCCTCGCGGTTCTCCCTGGAAACTATCATAGTTAATTCCTGATAAATTCATCATGATGTGCTAACTGGCCTGTTTTCATTCTAATCTATCACCCTTCACTGGTGCTCCGCCAGCGTATCCCGTTAGCGCGGGCGGGGTTACCATACCATTTTCATCCATTGAAAAAAAAAATTCTAGAATCCATCGAGGTTAGTTCTTGTCGTATCATGTTTTCGTAATGGATGATAATGGAATGGTAATTCCGCCTGCAGTAACGGTATACACCAGCGGGGCACCAGTGAAGGGTGATAGGTGAGAATGAAAAGCCAGGTTAGTCAGCCCATCGTGATGAATACACATGGAATTCAGCACGATGGTTTCCAGGGGGAACCGCGTAGTTGTCGATCTGTTTGTGCATGCAAAACAATGACTTTATTTTCGTCTGTTTGTCTGTACGTTTGTACACGCTAAACTAAGGAAGGGCTTAACCAATTTGAATGCGGTTTCCACTAATGTGTTACAGTTTGCTCCACTTAACATTTAGCGTTTGTTTTATTTCAATCGGTTCATAAATATAAAAAGTTATACCAATCTAAAGGATCACATATGAAATGCTATAAAATAACCGATCGGTTGTATTGGCTGACACTTTATGAAGGTATTAGGTACGTAATTATCGTTTAAGTATATAATACAATGAGGAGCGAGTGATTGCTTCAAGGTCGTAGCGATTATGCAAGTTAAGCAACCCCACCCGTGGTTCCAATTAGGATGGGTGACCACAGTCCGTACTATATGGAACGGAGGCGTCCAATAAATAATGTCCCGGCCACGCGGACGAAGTCGCGGGCGGAAGCTAGTATATGTATGTAGGATTGATAGTAGGGTTCATCTTATAAATAAATTAAAAAGAACAATAATTATTTTACAATAAAACGAATAAATTTTTAAATTGTTCAAGTTAACAAAACACTCTCCCTGGTCGCTGCCCGTGCGCGGTATGCGCACGCAGCCGACAATCACAAAGCGCCTGCGCGACCTGCGCACGCATCTTGCGAGCGAGTGCCGTGACCAAGTGTCGTGTTATAAATATATATATAATATAACAAAATGTTAGTTTGTCTACGTGTTTTTTAACTAATAAAAATTCAATTAAATTATAAAAGTTGATATACATTGTACATAATAAACATTGGTGAGTGTTATCTCACCACATGTATAATAAAATCTGAAACTTACCAAACATAAAAATCCGCATACTTCACACATGATCCGCTTGGCGATCTTGGTGGGCTTGCCGCCGCTCTGCAGACCGCGGAGTGCTGGGTTCTTGGCCCGTTTAGTCACTTTCACGTGCTCCCTCCTTACGGCGTGTTTGGCGTAGTGCTCGGCAAAATTGAACGCAGAAACGAAGGATTTCTTGCACTTGGAATGATTTATTTTTAATAATAATAATAATAATATAGTACATTACAGCAGCGGCCAGCAACTGAGGTATTGATGGACGAATGTGCAAATGTGGGCCGAGGCGTAGCCGAGGCAAACATACGTGAGTCCATCAATGCCTAGTTGTGGCCAAGGCTTGTATAGTACTTTTCTCAAACAATGCGCGGAAATCAGAAACACAATTTTACTTTTTAAGTTCAATGCCGAATAACGAACAATAATAATTTTTCACGCGCCATAATGTTCCTTTGTTTTTTTTTTTCAATAAATAGCTTTCTATTTGCAAGCCAGTTCGAAATTTAAATAAAACCTTTTATTAGTTACTTCCTTGGTAGCCATATTTCGTAGTAAAAGGTCATTCCATTTTTAAATTACAGGACAGATATGAGTTTACATAGTAATTTATCTGGCCGCAAAACACGACAGATATGGATTTTCATACAACTTTTGCCGGCCGCTGCCCGCATGCATCTGGACAGTACGGCAATTTTGATTTATCTCGAAGAAGATTGTCAAAATAATGCTCACATTTCCAAGCATGTTTGAGAAAAAGCTCGGCAGACAGGTTGGCAACCGCAGTTAAACTTTAAAGATCTTTTAAGAGAGATGTTGCTGTCCATCCCTCGCCTTCCCTTAGTCGCCTCTTACGACACTCACGGGAAAGAAAGGATTAACCTATTCTATTCTGGGACATGCACGGCAAATTTATGTGTATGTATGGATTTATTTAAGTATGTATCAGTAACTTTAAATATACATTTATATATTCACATTGTTGTACGTATGCATATCTCTATATGTGTTTAAAAACAAACAGAGATTTGTGCCTCCGATCAAACTGTTTATAATTACTCCTCTCCATCCAAAGGTTGCCTGCAAGAGATCGCTTCTAGCGATAAGGCCGCCCATTGTTTTCTCACTGTGATTATTTCTTGTAATTGTTTATATCTATAATAAGTTTACTATTGTAATATTTTTGAGGGAGCTTACCACTTCACACTTGAACACGTCAGTCGAATGCGTCTTCAGGTGATCGTTCATCATCTCGTCTGTGGGGAACCCTACCCCGCACTGCAAGCACGGGACCACCGCACCACACTTATCAGCCGTATGCCTCCACAACGCCGCTTGATTGTGGAACTTGGCGTTGCACGTGGCACATTCACTGTACTCTATACTGCTGTTCCTGTGATTATGACTCTGTACCAGGTGATAGGTCAACAGATTTCCAGCTACAAACGTTTCACCGCAATTCACACAGTTATAACCTTCGCAAGACAAACTCTCGTGTTTGGCCAAAGCGTCACCGGTCCTGAACTTGGCTTTACACTTGGCGCATTCAAACATAGACGTCTCTAAAATATCCCCGTGGATTCTTCTCTTGTGCGCGCGCAATCCCCATTCACTGATAAACGCCTCACCACAATACTCGCAGCCTACCAAACTGGACGTGTGGGTTAACCTTTTATGAGATAAATAACTCGTGCTGTGCCCAAAAGATTTGCCACACTCACACGTGAACTTCTTGCCTGCGTGGTAAGCGGCATGCCCGGCTGCCGTAGGCCGCGCTCGTGTTGTGAAATTACACAATTTACAGACAAACTTGAAGCTGTGCACAGTCTTGTAGTGACAGTGCAGGTAGGGCTTCTCGCGGAAACGCGTGTTGCAAATCGTGCATACATAATCCCCGAGCGACGGGTCGTGTTTACTACGGTAGTGGTTGAAGAATTTATTTTTATAGTTGAACCCCATACCGCAATCGTCACACTGTATCTTAGACGTGGGAGTCTCCTTTAAGACTCTTATTTCTTCTATTTGCTCCTCGCGGGTCAACAATGTCAGTGTAAAGTTGTACTGTTCAGCAAACTCCTTTGTTATATCAACGGTACTTCTCTTTTTACTCTTCATCCCGTTCAACTTTACGTCTTTCGGCTTCTTTACTATTGTCCTCTTAACCGTTTTCTTTTTAGTTTTCTTTATTTTATTATTTTTTTTTAAATCGTCATCGCTCGTTAGATCTATTGTTGTTTTTCTTTTTTCTCTATTTTCAATTTTAACGTTGGACAGTGTGATATCTTCAGGGGCATATTTATGATCTGCGTCATTTACGTTTATAAATTTTGTCTCTGGTATTTGTCTATTATCAACCGTTATAAACTCTGTATCGTCATTATTTGAATTATTGTCGATTGCGTTTTCTTTTTTTGCAACTACACAATATTGTTCATTATCATCTAGCTTCAAATCTGGAACTCTGTCGTAGCTATTCTTTGATTCCACCGCATCTTCGACGTTTTCTTTTATATTTATTGTAATGTTATCAAATAATTCTTTTTTAACATTATTGTTTAACATGTGCTTTTTGCGATCAATCTTGCGAATGTAGGACGTCGTTATCTATGGGGTTAGAGAATATGGTGTTCAAACTTTTGGACACAATACACCATTATAGTTAATTTTCAACTTTCGCGAATTTTTTATGCAACTTAGAATGGCAAACAAGCTAACCTCCGACTCAATTGAAACTGGTAACTGTCAATTATAGATATGAACAGTACCATTGGACGTTAGAGTGTACGGTGCCGCCCGTAATAACCTTTGAAGATGTTATGCCTCTCTTACCCTGTAATATCACTGCCATATCCCACCCTTCAAACAACTGTACACTGCTTCACGGCAGAAACACGAATGGGAGACGTGTTTAAATGCACGATAAAGGGGCGAAAGGGATTGTAAGTAATGAGATCAAATAACCTCATTACTAGCAATATACCCTGTCAGACCGACCTCCACATGGTTCCCCCCAGAAACCATCGTGTCTAATTCTAGTTGAATTCACCAGGATGGGCTAACTGACCTGCTTTCATCCTCATTAGTCATCTATCACTGGTGCCCCGCCGGTGTATACCGATAGCGCAGACGGGGCTACCATACCATTATCATCCATTAAAAAAAAATGCACGACAGACTCTATCGTGCATTTATATAAACTATATTTTATGCCGAGGTTCTTCCAAGAAACTACAGCATGGGGTTCTTCAAAAAGGGGGCAAAGAGGTTTCTTCAGGGTCGGCAACGCGCGCGTAATACCTCCGGTATTACAGGCGTTTATAAGCTACGGTGACCGCTTACCATCAGGTGGGCTTGTTTGCAACTTGTTTACCACTTCTGTGGTATAAAAAAAAGACTCTTTCAGATTTACTTAAATATCATTCGATAGGTATATAAAGGCCTAGACATATTGTATGATTACAGTAAACCGAAATCTTGGATCCAAATTTGCAATCTACTTTAAAAAGATGGACGGTCTAGATTCCCCTTTATGTTTGTTACCTCTATGGACTATAGATTATTGGCAAAAATTCAACCCACCCGTGCAAAGCCAGGTCGAACCGCTAGTTAACAATAAAACAAGGCCTGGATGATGACTTACTGGGATTCCACGTAGCTCGGCCTCCTCTAACAAGTCCTGTGCTTTCCTGCAGAGGCACCTGTACGCTACGAACTTCTGCAGGAGTGCTGTGCACGTGCTGCAAAGGTGATGAGGGTACCCGTCGCCTGATAACACCTACAAAAAAAAATTTACACATTAATCCTTAAACGCCTGAAGTTTCAAATTTGATAGCGGTGTTATAAATCGCATTGGGCGCCTACAATCGATTTTATTTTAATATTTGGCTGTTTACATGTTACCAAATGTTTTTTTTTTTTTTTTTTCAAAATCAATATACGTGGGAAGTCGTGGCCGGAAAATCAGACTATATTAAATTTTTATCAATTTATTTGCTCCGCAGCTCTTTAACAGTACTCGATACGTAACGCTTTCCTTGAAGATAAACGTAATAAAGTTCCATAATTATATTTTTTTACTATAAATGTGACATTGCTGATTTTTCTTTTTATATAATAAAAATTTTTTCTTATGTAATTGTAAATTTGTATACCTCGATAGATGGGGTTGATCATAGAGGACTTATATTGTTTCACCGTCCATTGTTACCTATGTATCACAAAATAAATAAATAAATAAATAAAATAAACGCCATCTTGCTATATTCATTCGTCGATCAATCATACTTGTATCATGCATCTCTTTCACTCATCATCTTTATTCTCATTACTATTCCTTTCACACGCCTCCTAGAAACATCTAATACCACATATATAAAAATATCGTATTGATTCTTTTACTATTTTTCCCCATTAGTAAAGGGTACACTTATATACTTTTTAATTGGATTTAAAAAATCAAGCTTTTAAGGGTTAAAAGCTAGCAATATACGCATTATTTATAATGGGTAATAAGTGACATCCCCGCCTATACTATCGGTATACGCTGACAGAGCACCAGTGAGAGATGATAGGTGAGAATGAAAAGGCAGGTCAGTTAGCACATCGTGATGAATACACATGGAATTCAGCACGACGGTTTCCAGGTGGGACCATGTGTTCGTCGATCTGTGTATATTGCTGGCAATGGGGATTGGAAGTCCGTATTACTAACAATCGCTTCCCCTCCTAGTGACAGCACCAGCCGCATTGCAAGCAATATACCTATCTTTTATGAAGAAAGTGGCAATCCCACCTGTGCTATTGGTATACACTGGAGCAGCACCAGTGAGGATGAAAGCAGGTCAGTTACCGCTCTGCATGAAATTAACTATAATTTAACCATGATGGTTTCCAGCAGGAACCGCAGAGTTCTACCTGATAAGGTATATCACTAACAACAGGGCTGCTCTACTCTATTATTAACATTTTTTATTTTTACATATCAATTCAATTCACATGGAAAGGTTTGCTGGAAGGGGCTGGCATAGTCGCCTAGGAAGCCTTTACAAAAATTAGAATAAATAAAATAATAATACATGCATATATTTCTGAACTAAAAAAATTTAATGCCACCACCCTTTATTATGAAAAAAAAAATAAAGGCCCATAAAAAAAAAAACAGATTTTAATTATGACAAAACTAATTATTTGATTTAAGAACTAAACTACTTAATGATTTTTTAATAATATTTCTATGTAACCAATCTGTAAGAAAAAAAAAAAGAAAACAAACAAAATAAAGAAAAAAAAAATTTCCAAATCTGATCATAATTGGTGGAGTTATGAAGTAACAAACTTAAAAAAAATATATTACTAAAATAAAACCCTCCTCTTTTTTAAATTAGTTGTAAAAGAAAGCTTATAAGGTTTGAAGCTTATTATTTGTTAACCAGAGTTTTTTTCATATCACATGTTGGCTAACAGATAGTGTCAATAGTTTTTAGTACAATTTTTAGTCAGTGGATACCCTTAGGGGCAGTTTTTATATTTCTATTTCCCATTGTTAACTTTTCATTACTTTAATAATAGTTTCAGGGTACTGTTGCGGCTCCCGCGCTTCTGTAGCACCTCAGCGATGTTTGCCGACGCTCGCATAGATAGTTTTGATGCAGTCTGGCGTAAAAAGACAGCTTCGGTTTACGTCTTATATGCGGGAGTAGCAACAGTACCCTGAACATGTTTGTTAATAAATTGGATAGTCCTCTCGTGTGAATGCTCGCCGAGAGGACTAGATCATTATTAGTGATTAAGTATTAACATAGTTTTTAAGTACACTTACTAACAAAAATGGATCCAAGATATCTAAACATAAATAAATAAATAAATAAAAATTACTAAAGCCGAGTTTCTTACCCGTTATTAGCTGAATTGCATTTCGAACTAGGCGGTAAAATCACTAAAAAGGGCTGTTCCAAAATACTTAAATGTACCTACTTGAATAAAAAAAAACAAAAATAGTAAATAAAAAAGGGTTCTAATCTGATACATTTACAGTGTAAATAAAAGGAGATAAATATTCGAAATTCATTATAAAAGTCTAACAGGTTTTTTTTTTAATTTCAATTTGTTAAAATTATATCTACCTACTTAGAAAATAAAAATTAAAAAACGGCCAGTGCAGTAAATAGATAATTTTATTATTTTTTTAACTATTTCTTGTTTTTTTTTTAACACTTTTGTCTTGAATGCATGAAAAATTAAATTATTTAAATAAATAAATAAAAATAAACACTAACCGGAACACCGACGAATCTCCCAAAATCTTCCCATAGCTTATTTTCAAACAAATCATATAGTTTTACGTCTGTAGCCAGACAACCGCGACATGCAAGTAATTTAGACATTGAGAGATTTTTATTTATAATAGATATAATAGGTATTATATTAATTTACCTATAAATTTAATTGAAAGAAAAAAATAATAAATTCAATTATAATGACAGACCATAATTTTAAACAGATTACTTTTTTTTTTTTTTTTAGTACGTTTGTTCCGTTTGGAACAGGCTAAGGTCGGAGACCATGCAGCCTAGTCTTCAAAAAGATAATTTGTCTGGAATTTTATTTTTCTAATGTCGCTTCAATTATTGTCATAATCTTCAATATTTCATTTGTCAAATCCGGTAAGTACATTTTCATAAATATCTTTTCTTGAGTTTTCTTAAACCAGTGGATTTATCAAATTAAAAATAAATAATTATAAAAAATCATTGTCTTGCAATTCAATAAAAGTATTCTTATAGCTCCTTGAATGTTGTAGTAATATAAGTGAAAATAGCTTTGAAACAAGAAGGAAATCTTAAGAGAAGCGGGATTGAGTGCGGGATATTTTCGGGTTTTTTGAAGATAATCCTAAGTTCGTCAAACATAATGTGTCTTTGAATGACAAATTCAGAGCAATCAAAAAAAAGGTGATGTAGAGATTGGGCTGTATTTGAGTTACACCATGTGCATGATGGGGAAGCGATCATGCCCATTCGGTGCAGGTGTTCGTTGAAATGTCCGTGGCCGATTCGTAATCTACAAATATTGGTGTAAAATTTTCTGTTTGTGTCCTTTCCTTTGCAGAACCACGGTTTTCCAATACGCCAATTAATTTTGCGGTACCATTTGCCTTTAGTCTGTAATATTTGAGTCCAATGCTCCTCCCATTTAGTTGTAACGATTTTATGTATTCCAATACTACAATCTGAGTAACAAAGGGGTAAATCTTGAACACGAGCAGCACTTGAATTAATAATTTTAGCCAAAGTGTCTACTTGTTCATTCCCAAACACTCCAATATGTGAAGGGGTCCAGATGAAGATAATATCTTTTCCATATATAGTACAGAGATGATAATATTTATTACGAATTTCTTGAATTAAGTAGTTTGATGATGAAATGATTGTGTTATTTTTTAATGCCATAAGAACACTCATACTATCTGTAATTATAATCCATTTCGAATATAGTACCTGTTTTTCTATGTATTCTAATGCTAAAAATATAGCTTTTGCTTCTGCTGTGTAAATACTAGCCAAAGTTGAAATTTTATAACCGTGACCAAATCTATTAGACAAATCGTAAAAAGCCACTGAAGTGCTAAGTGCATTTTTGGAACCATCTGTATATATCTGCCTGTAGTCAATAAATTCTGATAAAGTCTCATACATATCGTGCTTTTCTTTTATGTCTTTATGTATAACAATTTTGATCTTACAGAACTTACTCTCATAAAGGCCATTATAACAAGGAAGTATCTTACTACTATAGATGTTATATTCATCTCGTAAATTCAAATCATTGATAATAGTTTTATTCAAAAACATAGAAATGGGGCAATTTAATAATTTGAGTATGAGTGGGTTATTGGAAACTGAAAAAACTTTGAAGAGAAATTTGAGTTTTAGGTATTCGAAACGAAGAAGGATAGGAGGCAAATTACATTCTACTTGCATTGAGATAATTGGAGAAGTATACATAGCACCTAAAATAAGTCTTAAATTCATATTTTGAATTTTTTCGAGTTTTTCTACTAATTTATGTTCTGAGGCATAACAAAAGAAAGCGTAATCAAAATTACTTCTAACAAGAGATTTGTAAAGTAAAAGGATAATTTTAGGATCAGCTCCCCAGTTACGACCAATTACAGATCTTATTATATTAGTGGCTCTTAAAGCACGATCTACTAAGCAATCAACGTATAGATCCCATTTTAAATTTTGATGAAAAATTACCCCCAGAAATTTAACGCTACAGTCTGTTGGAAGAGTTTGATTATTATATATAATATTCATTAATGGAACATATTTATGAACTTGATGAAAAACAACTACTTTACTTTTGGTTAAACTAATATCGAGGGAAAGAAGAGAAAAATATTTCTCAAGTCTTTTTAATGACTCATTTAACACTAATTGCATATCAATAATATTCTTTCCTTTTATATAAATTAATAAATCATCGGCAAATTGCAAGTTGTTCACACTGTTTCCTAAAACTAAATTAAGTTTATAGATATATAAAATATATAGTAGCGGGCTTAAAATACCACCTTGACATACTCCTTTAGAGCTTAACCTAGGTCCTATTAATTTACTATTTACTTTAACATACACTTCTCTATTACTAAGAAAATTATAAATCCATTCGATAAGTTTCATTGGAAGAAATGAGGATAGAATCGAAGATAGAACTGTTAAATTTACATTGTTAAAAGCTCCTACGACATCTAAAAAAACAGATAGAACATATTCATCGTTATTCAAAGCAGTACTAAGGTCGACATAGAAGTTCGCTAAACTTTCGCGCGCTGAATATCCACGGCGAAAACCAAATTGATTCGATGGTAATATACTATTACTTTCAATAAAGAACTCTAAACGCTGTTTAATTAATTGTTCGAATAATTTGCCTGCACAGGACGTCAATGTTATAGGTCTATAGGAGTCGAAATTTGTAGGATCTTTACCGGGTTTAATTACTGGAATCAAACAATCCATTTTCCATTCTGGTGGGATAATACAGTCCTTCCATAAATCGTTAAAAATTTGTAAGAGTTTAGTAAGGTTTATTTTATTCAGCAATCGAAACATATTGTATGTTAAGCGATCAAGGCCACTAGCTGTATCTTTTCTAGATTTTACTGCACTGGATATTTCATCAATTGAGAATGGGTCAGTGAGAAATTTTGGGCATGAATTAACAGAATTAAACTGTTTGTCATCAAAAGGTGAGTGTACAAAATCAGGAGTATATTTGCGTAAAAAATCATTGACCCATGATATATCTTTAAAATGATTTTGACGATGTTTTGAATTTAGTTTTCTCATATTTTGCCAAACAGTGGAAATTGGTGTTAATCTATTAAATTTGGAACAAAATTCCTGCCACCCCTGTTGTCTTACTTGCTTAATTACTAACTTTTTAACAGCTTGAACTCTTTTAAAATTTATGTAATTATCGAGAGTTGGATTTTGTTTAAACCTAAGGTAAGCCGCTTTACTATCATTGACAGCTGTCGCACACCTGTTATTCCACCAAGGTACTGCAATATGTTTGTGCCTCTTTGAAGTATTTGCACCGCTATTTGATAAGTTCCTACGTGGAACGGAACGTTCCACAGCTGTCAAAATAATTTTACAGAACCTATTGTAATTGTTTAAGGGTTCATTGACATCATACTCGAAATCCAAAAGTAATTGATTAACAGCTTCAGAATAAAGATCCCAATTAACGAGACGTAGGTTTATACGATTTAACAAAAGTTTATTAACTTCATATTATAATACCAAGAATTATTAACTTCAATACTAATAGCTATAGTTTGCAAAGAATTGTCGAAAAAAGAGTGAAGTTTTTTATATCTAATACTATTATGTATAATAATCGCTACTCCATTGTGGTTATTACCACAATCATTTCGTTCTATACAATAATCTTTAATTTTTAATTTGTAATGTGATTTTAGCCAAGTTTCTGAGATGAGAGCAATGTGAATATGATGTTCATTTAAAAATTGTGTAAAAATATGTCGATTGCTCAGTAGGCTCTGAGCGTTCCACTGTATGATAGTTAATTGGTCTCGATTGAATTTTGTGAAATAGGTCTATTACCAAAAGTATCATATAACACATTCAAAACACTTTTAGTGTTAATAGATGTGTTCTTTGTGTTATGTAGTGAAATAAGTTTGATTATGCTTTCTATTAAAAGTGATAAACTCTTGTTATCAGAATTTAGAATTGAAATTAGGTCTACATTTTTTTTAGGTTTGTTACCCAGTTTAGGAAATATTTCAGTGCTAAGTATATCTCCAAAAGAAGCAGGTCTGAATTTAGATCTATTTTCAGCAATTTTCTTTTGTTTAACAGGGCATTGCGGTGATACACTTGTGTGATTTCCATTGCAGTGTACACAAATAGCGTTTTCCATTCCAGTTGTACAAGTTTTATAATTATGCTCACCTTTGCAGATGCTGCAACGCTCAGAATTCTTACAGAATTTAGCTAAATGTCCATACCTCAAGCACCGGTAGCATTGTTTAACTGGTGGTATATATGGAGTGACATTGTGGCGCCAACCTCCAATATCCAGATATTCAGGTAATACAGATGCAGCAAAAGTAATTGTCACGGTTAGAGTTGGCTGTAACACATATCCATGAGTCAAGGTATTTTTTCTTAAAATTCTTTTAATAGCAATAATTTTCTTAGAACTCGATATCATAGTATATATTTTTTTATTAGATATATTTGTAGGTACATTTCTAATAACGCCTGTAACTTCTGTTGAAGAAGCAGGAATACTGGCCTTAAAATGGTAGTCATTTAAAAAAGTTTTATTATTTAAAAAAGCATTGGCTAAGTCTGGCTTTTGAAAGTATACTCCGATTTTGAATTTATTTATAGATCTAAGATAAGTTACCCCTTTATTAAATCGTTTTAAACAGGAGGAGAGTGAGAGCAAGTCTCTGGATCCAATGGTTTTCTGACTATCTGAGGATTCTACAAAGACAACAAATTCTGTCCCAGGGGATTCCTCGGGATATCTTCTAATATAATCTGTGATGTAGTAAGGTTTATACTTATCGGCCTTATCAATTTCAGATTCTGAGTCAGTAGAAGTATCTTCCGAATATATATCCTTGTCATTACAAGGTTCATGGTCTACATCACCTGAATCGTCATCTTTTTTTTTTCCTTTTTCTACAACTGCGCTTCCCCATGAATGCTAATTATATTACTGTCGCTGAATTTAGTGAAAATATAATATTTTATTCAATAATAAGAATTGATAGAGATAGTTTTAATAAATTAATAAAAAAAATTTAAAAAACCCGCTTGTTCTTATTCGAGTTTCCCGCCTTTTTTTTTAAACAGATTACTTAGAAAAACATATTTAACCACTATCTAACATTACGACTTCGATACAGAGCATATTAACTTCACTATCTATGATAACATAGATACAATCATGTAGGTATCAATGATCATGGTTATCGTGTAGGTAGGTCGCCGTTTCCCCGTGCAAGAATATAATTAACAGATGTACGACAAAATTTAAAAATAAATTCGACACGTAAATTAGATTTTTTTATGTAACTTAGAACGGCAAACAAGCTGACGGAACCTGATAGTATGTAATAATCGTTGCCTATAAATATGAGCAGTACCATGGACATAACAGAGTATATTGTTTCGTCCATGGGGGGTATCCCTATGCGTTGCCATTCTTGAGGACTCAGGTGTTATTCCTCTATACCCTGTAAATTCACTACCGTATCCCACTCTTCAAACCGATACACAGCCATACAATCACAACCGCTTCACGGTAGAAACATAATGGGATAAAGATGTCCAAGCAAACGACTTTTGGACAGAGTCTCTCCCTGGTAAAACTGTTAAAATTCAAACAATGATCATAATGACTGACTTACAACATTCTCAGATCGCTCAGTTCTCTGAAGCATGATAAAGTTACTTGAGATTACCTCGTAAATGTTATAAGTAGGTACTAAAAATTTTTATCTTGAACTCTCCTCTAAAGATTCGAATCTTGAAGTGTCCTTTCACCGAAAAAACAACTACGTAATTCTACGTAATTTATATAAACAATAACGACCATAGTAAATTCCGATATATTTCAAGACTATGGAATTAAATTCATCACTTTTTAATTATTTAAAAATGACAACGATAAAATTTTATATTTCCATTTTAGAGAATAAGCACCAACCACCCGTTTTCTTTTTCTTTCTACCTCAATTTTTTTTAATAATATGTTTTACGGCTCTGGATACAAGTCCTTTTGAGCCCTTCTACCTCCAATAATTGATTTGTTGCCATATACGAGAATAAAATGTTACTATTGACTATAGAGAGTATTGCCATGCAATTATTGCTTATAAAATGAACAGTAGGTATTTGAAAAATGTTCTTTGCACAGGTTATTTGTTAATTTTAGTCCAGTATTCACAGACATAATGAATAGGTATGTATATACATCGACATATACTAAACAGGAATAATAATTACGACATGCACATACCATCATACCTACTTGTACAACAATAAGTCCATTACACTAAGATTGTCTTGTAAAGATTGCTCTCAGCAACAAGACTGTACTTATAATGTATCGTTGTGTCTGTAAATAGTCTTGCATATTTCCTATATTGTATAATGCAAATAAAGTGGCGGGAAAGGGATTGTTGGTAATGGAGACTGAGAATCCCATACCATTTTCACCCATAAAAAAAAAATCTATACTAATAGTGAATATACAAAAGTATATAAACAAATAAATAAATAATCTATTATTTATTTAAGAGGAAAAAACAAATTGAATGGCGCCATCCGGCCACGGCTTTAAATGCACACAACAGCAGCTGAAAGGATCCGATCGGATACGATGACAGGCGAACGGAGCCGATCGCCTGTCACACATGGGGTCGTCCGTAACTCCTTACGGGGTTATAGGTGCGGATTTCGAGCAATCGCTCTTTGCCCGAGCGTCGACTGCGCAGGCTGCCACCTAATTTTGGGCCAAGTGGGCGGAGCCGGTTCTATTGTAAATAGTACCGGCTAACGGGATGAAAATGTAGAATAAATTATAATGAGGCAGTATACTGTGTCGTCGACCGTGCCGGGCCGGCTTAACCGTCGCCCTGCGTATCGCGTGTCGCGGTAGACGCCCGCGGTCAACCTGCTGTGAGCGGCTAGGTAGTATAGACTTTAAATTCTGTGTACACGATTTAATATCGTTTAAAGATTGTAAAATACGTTCTGATTCGATGCGAGCCATTCGGTGGAAATTATCCTTTAATGAAGCTGCGTAGTTTGTTGAATTTAATTATTTATTTTATTATTTATTTATTTAACATTTTATTGCACCAACATTACAGGACTATCTGTCCCTTCTCAATTCAAAAATGGAATTAAACGTTGCAACAACGTGGCGGCCGTAGTTATAAATTTTATTTATCTACAATTGCACGCCTTAGCCCCTTTGGGGTAGGTATTCTAAATTCAAATATTGCCAAATCTGTCTATGATTTGGGAAAATAAAAACTCCGCGATAGTTTGTTCTTTTTCTCTCCTCATATCACTTCGATGCTATAGATAAATAACTAAAACAAGAGTGACTTATCGCTGGCGAAATTCTAAGATGCCAAGTCCTAAAAAAAAAGAAACCAATTTGACATTTGTAACAAAAAAAGCTAATGCTTTCCCGCGCTTTTTTAAATCATGTCTGTAGACTTCGGCCGACGTTTTCTAATCCTCGGTGGCATTGGTATCTTCATGTGAACCGTTTTAATATGCATTTTCACACAAGTGGACGTCTTGAAGTACTTCTGACACAGATGACACTGGTGTGGCCTGACTCCGAGGTGGACCTGAAAGCGTAAAAGATAAACAATATGGCGACTATACAAAAACAAACTAAATTTATAATCTGTGCTTAAAACTAATTCCACTTTCAGACAAATATATTTGTAAGAACATGTTCACAATCCCGCCAAATCCTTTTCGAGCTTATATTGTGTAGGTAAATTGGAATGGCTATTACATTATGTGTACTTATCATCCGAGCGTATATCCCGGTTGCATCCTAATTGAAGCCCAGGGTACGCTTGCAAGCGATACCATATGTGACTTGACAAGATCAGCTTTTTACAAGAGCGACTGCCGTCTGACCTCTTAACCTAAAGGAGAAAGCTTTCCCGTTATATGGGTGCTTGTAGGTACATACGCCTTTACATTTCTACTTTAGCGTATGCAGGTTTCCTCACGATGTTTTCCTTCACCGTTTAAAGCGAGTGATAATTTAGAAAAATTGCTATTATGTGTATTTATTCAAATACATTATGTCTTAAATAATATAACCATTAAATAACCCAACAAAACAACAATCCATGATGGACTACCATCATGCACCGGGGAGAAGGGATTGTTAGTAATGCATACTACCATTTGCACTCCCATTGCTAACGAATTTAGCAGGTTTTTTTTTAATGGGTGATAATGGAATGGTAACCCCATCCGCACTAATGGTATACACTGGCGAGGCACCAGTGAGAGATGATAAGTGAGGATGAAAGCAGGTCAGTTAGCCCATCGTGATGAATTCAACAAGAACTGTTAACGATGGTTTCCAGGGGTAACCACGTGGAGGTCGACCTAATAGGGCATATTGTTAGCAATGGGGCTGTCAAACTCCATTGTTAACAATCCCTTTCCCCCCACCCTGTCAGTCTGATTTCCATGTGGTTGTAATCCCTGGAAACCATCGTGCTGAATTCCAGATATATTCATCACGAGTGACCGACCTGCTCTTTCCTCCTCACCTATCATCCCTCACTGGTGCCCCGCCGGTGTATACCGATAGCGCAGACAGGCTATTAAAAATCTATTAAAAAAAGCCATGCACATTTGTCATTCAAGTAACCATTTACTGTTTTTTTTTTTATGCAACTTAGAATGGCAAACAAGCTGACGGCCCACCTGATGGATAGTGGTAACCGTCGCCTATACACATGAGCAGTACCATGGACATAACAGAGTATACTGTTTCGCCCATGACACCCTCCATGCGTTGCTATTCCTGAGGACTCAGGTGTTATTTCTCTGTACCCAGTAAATTTTTTTTTATTACAACACAGGGGGTAAACGAGCATGCGGCTCACCTGTCTTTTAAAAAGGAATATGCTCTTTTCTTGAAGGTTATGTTGTCGTATCGGTTCGGAAATACTGCTGCTGGAAGTTGATTCCAAAGAGTGGTTGTGCGTGGAAGAAAGTGCCTTGAAAAACGCACGGTGAAGGACCGCCACCCGTCCAGATGATTGGGATGAAACTTTAGTTCGTGGCGGGTTGTACGGTGGTGAAAATCAGCAGCAGGTATCAATCCGAACAATTCCTCAGAGCACTCCACATGATAAATTCGGTAGAAGATGCACAGAGATGCAACATCTCTGCGCAGTTTCAGTCGGACAGTAAGGCGTTGACTATCGATAATTCGAGCCGCCCGACTTTGAATGCGGTCTAATGGAAGGAGTTGGTACTGTGGCGCTCCTGCCCATAATTGAGAACAGTATTCCCCATACGCGGCCTGACTTATCCCACCCTTCAAACCGAAACATAGTAAATAAATACTATATTTACCCCCATTATGTGTCTCACTACAGCTCCACGTAATTTGAACTTCTTCTTGCAGTAGTCGCATTCAAATGGCCGCTCGTTGGTGTGCACCCGCATGTGACCCTGGAAATAAAAAAAAATGTGTAACGTGTTCCCATTATTTATTATGAAATTGTGTGTATTAATTACAATAAAACTTAACAGAGAAACAGTATTATAATGATGTCACTGGCACACTTGTTATGGAACGCTCAGGTTATGGAATGAGCTCCCTGCCGAGGTATTCCCAAGAGACTACAGCATGGGGTTCTTCAAAAGGGGGGTAAAGAGGTTCCTTTAGGGTCGGCGACGCGCGCGTAATACCTCTGGTATTGCAGGTGTTCATAGGCTACGGTGACCGCTTACCATCAGGTGGGCCGTATGCTTGTTTGCCACCTCAGTGGTATAAAAAAAAAAAACACTCATCGCCTTACTACTATATCGTCCGTTAGTCGCCAACTTTCTGGAAGCGAGAGAGGAGCGCTCCTATTGGTCGGTCGCATTGTACAAAAGTCGATTGCTTGGTCACCTCTGTCCCATTTGTGTTTCTACCGTGAAGCTGTTTGCATGGCTGTGTTCATATGTATTCATATATGTACATTAAAAGTAATGATTATGTATTATATGTACATTTCTTATGTGTATATTATATTTATATTGTGTATTGCCTTAATGTGTTACTATAATTGTCACATATTTTTCACCACATCTGCCCTTCATACGCTTTCTGTTTTTACCCAATGGTTAGCTGGTAGAGAATGCCATATGGCATTAAGCTCGCCGCTTGTACAAAGTTTTATTGTGCAATAAAGAATAAAGTAAAATAAATAAATAAATACCTGTAACGACATCAGTACACTGAACTGCTTGGAACATATAGTGCATTTATATTCTTTCTCATCCGAATGGGTTTTCAGATGCGTCGGGTATGCGTTCTCCTGCAATTAACATTTCATTAATATAACAAACTGAACAATTGGTAATCTTTTCATATCTCTGTTTACATTATGTTTATTATTATTTTTTAAATTTTACTAAAATTCTCATCTCCCCTCTTAAGGAGAGGAGATGGCAACTAACCCCCGGCAGAAGCACAGTCGGCCGGGGTTCAGGGCCCCAGGGAGAGAAACCGGCGTACAATGCGGGCAGAATCTAAGAGCACCGCTTTCTGCATCTTTCCCGGGAATGAGCCGCCTCGGAATCCCAACCGTCTGAGATGTTGTTCCAGACTGGTTGGGATAAGACCGTTCACCGACATAACGATTGGGATGATTTCGGTGGATGTCACTCCCCACATTTCGGTCACCTCGTGAGCCAGGTCGAGATATTTTTCTCTTCTTCTCGGTTTCGGCTTTCACGAGGTTCTCGTCATGCGGTTTTTTTATTATAAATTTACTTATTATAAATTTATTTTAAATTTACGATATCTCGGCTTAAAACCGGTTTTACAGGTGTACACGGGCCTAAGCCAAGTGCGGAACTGTGTGCTAGGTTTTTTTGTATAAATGTAATTTGTCTGGTAATCTGTTTGTAATATTATGTTAACCTGTAGATGTACCAGGAGCGTCTAGTCCAATTTGCAGAAACTTCCCGACAATTCGGCATGTATTTAGGATTACGGCTTTCTGTAATTGATGGTAAATATTGGGTGGTAACTTTAGAGTATTTATCGCGTGATGCAGTTGTTTCGGTATTACACCTGTCGTGGACAGTACTATTGGAACTATTGCCACTTTTTGTAAGTTCCAAAGTCGGGTGATTTCGTATTGAAGTACGGTGTATTTAGATATTTTCTCTGCTATTGTATTTTGTATGTTGTGTGTATTAGGTACAGCTATATCTATCAAATAAGCAGTTTTGTTTGTTTTTTTTATTAATGTAATATCTGGTCTATTGTAGTGGATTGTTCTATCCTTGAGGATGGCTCGGTCAAAGTAAAGTTTAACTGTGGTGTTTTCTAGTACATTCTCAGGCTTATATTTATAATACGGTTGAATGGAGGTAATGAAATTGTTTTGGTAGGCGAGTTTTTGGTGTATTATATTGGCTACCTGGTCATGTCTATGTTTAAAATCAGTTTGCACTATTGCTTTACATGCTCCTGTTATGTGTTGGATTTATTATTATTATTATTATAGCCTGGACGAATATTTATTCATTAGTACATATATGTGTACATGGCGGACTTAATGCTAGAAGCATTCTCTCCCAGTCAACCGTAGGGAAGTGTCAGAATACTCGAATGCGGTACTAGTAATTATTGATATACATACATACTAAAATTACATATATAAACGAATAAATATATATAAATAACAAATATACTTACACATATATGACATATACTATATTATACACGAAATTGAGAATAATATAAAGCACTTACTGCTCGGATAAAAATAAAAAGTGTGCGTTAACGCTTTTTTTGAAATATGTCAATGATAAAGATAAAGAGTCATCATTTGTAAAAAATAATGTCACATATAAATATATTTTGTTTCAGTGTATAATTTTAAATGTTACGTTTTGTATACTGTCAACTGTTCCCATATATAGTGTAGGAAGCAATGATAAATTCTGTGCTAATACAAACATACTTTGTTAAATAAATAAATAAATAAATATCATATCATATTGTACGCTTATATAGCACGACATGGAGATACTATTTAACTGATGTAATACCTTAATTTAACCTATGATCCACAATAAAGTCATTTGTATTTGTATTTATTTATTTACACATACACTAAACAAACTTTAAACTTAAATCATATCATTTATCAGATACAATCTCTGTTTAAGGAAATAAATTATACATGTCACATATCGTCACCTCTATGGTAAACTTACCAAACTGAAAAAGATACGTTTTACAGGGGAACGTTTTGAAACATTTAGAATGCAAATAACTTTTGACAGAAGACTACTGTAAACGATCATGCTAACATTTTAGTTTTAAAATCCTGTTTTTTATTGAATGCGCTTAATAAATTATTTATTATATTACAAGTATCAGAAATAAATTAAGAGGTTTGTTTGAATCGAAGCATTTGGCGTTCCATTGTTTCTGCCTACCCTAATGGGAGACAGGCGTGACAGATATGTATGTATGTATGTAAGTATCAGAAATAAATGCATATTCGTCACTTTGCACCTTCATACATGAGAGTTCCCAGGTATTGAGTTATACAACAGCAAATCTACGAAAGTGGCAGTTTCGTAAGTTGCCAAAGAAAATCATTTATTTTATCTGGCAAACTAACGAAGGTGCCACTTTCGTAAATATACCAAGGTATAAATCACGTGTTTTGGAGAGAAGTTCAGTTTAAATAACAACGTTATAGCAATCATTCATGTAAAATAACTAAATTAGGATTGAAAAATTCATAAAATAATTATTGAAATTTTCAAATTAAAGTGTTTATTATAGAAAATACTATAAAAATATGCTAAGTAAGTTTACTTTGGGTGTATCACAAAAATATGGAGATTCGAGCTACTCGATTTCTTTAACCGTTAGAGATAGAAATTTGAAAGTAAGCCACAATAAGTAGTATGACGCAAGATGTAGATTTTTAAAGAAATGTCAAATTTAAAAAAAACTGCAGATTCGTAAATTTGCCATAGAGGTGACGATATGACATAATAATGTAGATTACACAGTTATATAATAACATTACTATTTCACATTGAAATTAGAATAAAAAAAGAAAAACATATAAAAAAAAAAAACATATTAAAATACAGAAAAATTCAAGCCAAAAGGATATTTCGACAGTACATTCGACACACAGCGACCAGAGGGAGACTTTGTACAAAAGTCGTTTGCTTGGGTACCTCTAACCCATTCGTGTTTCAACCGTGAAGCAGTTGTGTTTGCATGGCTGTGTTTCGGTTTGAAGGGTGGGATATGGCGTGAATTTACAGGGTACAGAGGAATAACACCTGAGTCCTCAGGAATGGCAACGCATGGGGGTATCATGGGTGAAACAGTATACTCTGTTATGTCCATGGTACTGCTCATGTCTGTAGGCGACGGTTACCACTTTCCAACAGGTGGGTTGTCAACTTGTTTGCCATTCTAAGTTGTATAAAAAAAACAATATACATGGGACACCATCACCCTGTCTCCCCAGACACTTACCATGCACAGTTTCCCGCAGATCTCGCACATGACCTTCCTGGCCACCTTCATGATCTTCCCATCGTCCCTCAAGCCCCGGAACGCTGGGTTCCTCAGGTGGCCGGGCACGTTCACGTGGTCGGGCCTGGCGATGTGTTTGGCGTAGTGTTCGGCGAAATTGTAGGCCGATTTATACGTACCGTTGCACTGAAATTTTTTAAAATATTTTATTAAATTAGGTGTTACTTTACGGAAGACCATATCACTGGTTATTTTATGTAACTTGCTAGTTTTTTTATGTAACTTAGAATGGCAAACAAGCTGACGGCCTACGTGATGGAAAATGGTAACCGTCACCTATAGACATGAGCAGTACCGTGGACATAACAGAGTATACTGTTTCGCCCATTATACCACCCATGCGTTTCCATTCCTGAGGACTCAGATGTTGTTATTCGGTACCCCGTAATTTCACTGCCATATCCCACCCTTTACAATGGAACAAATCAATGCAATAGCATTGCCAGATTGGGTATTTTTTGGCAATTTTGGGTTAAAAAAGTATAGTTCCAATTTTAAGGAATGAAATCTTTGGAGAAATTTTTTGAAAAAGGTGAAATGGGCTTGGAGTAATTTTGAATATTTTTTGTACAGTTTTGATTTTTGTAAAGTGTATTATCACCGGCCATTAATTGACCACTGCACTGAACATATGCCTCCCCCATAAAGGAGTTTGCACATAGTTGCTATGCTTGGCAAGCAGGTAAATCTCTTGTACGATCTCTAAGTTAACAACTTACCACTTCACATTTGAAGTAATCTGTCGTATGTGTGTTCAGATGCTCATTCATCTCGTCCTCGGTGTCGAAGCCTTCACCGCACTGCACACAGGGAACAACCTGCCCACACTTATCCAAATGCCTCCGCAGCGCTGCATGGTTATGGAACTTCGTGTTACAAGCATTACACTCGCTCGGCTCCTCAGAAATATTCCTGTGGTTATGATTCTGCACTAGATGGTAGGTCAACAAATTTTCCGCTGTGAAAATATCGCCGCAATTCACGCAGTTATACCCACCACAGTACAAACTCTGGTGTTTGGCCAGAGCGTCGTCCGTTCTGAACTTGGCGTTACACTTCTCACACACAAACCAAGTCTCAGGGATGTCGCTGTGGATTTTGCGCTTGTGCGTAAGCAGACCCTTCTCGCCGATGAACGATTCACCACAGTACTCACAACCCTTGAGTTTCGATGTGTGCGTTAAACGCTTGTGAGACAAATACGAAGATAAATGGCCGAAGGATTTCCCACAATCACACGTGAACACTTTCCCAGCGTGGAATGCGGCGTGACCTTCCGCTGTACTCCTGGATCGGGTGTTAAAATCGCACACCTTGCACACATATTTAAATAGATGAACGAACAAATGGTGCTTGTGGAGGTAACGCTTCTGACGGAACCGAGAATTGCATATGGGACACACGTATTCGCCTAGCGACGGGTCGTGTTTGTTCTTATAATGGTTCAACAATTTACTTTTAGAATTGAAACCTATACCGCAATCGTCGCACTGCAGTTTATTTGTGGGCTTCTCTTTTAACGCCCTCACTTCTTCTAATTGCTCCTCGCGAGTAAACACAGTGAGCTCAAAGTTATATTCTTCGGCGAATTTCTTCGTTATATCAATTACATCTCCCTTTTTATTTTTTAACTTTACATCTTTCACTTTCTTTTTCTTTTTAAGTATTATTCGCGGTTTATCTATCTTTGTTTTTGAATCTTCCTCTTCGGCTGTTAAGTCTACTGTATTATTTGTAGTGGCCACATCGTTAGTAATCTCAAATATATCATTGGACATGGAGAAATTGTCAAAAAAGCTTGTAATGTTCGTATCTTCTACATCTATGGGATTTAATTCTGATTTTAATTTATTATCTATGGTCACAAATTCTGTCTCGATATTACTAAAACCGTTTTCAATTACAACTTCTTGTTTAGTAACTGTATAATTTGTTTTCTTTACACTCTCATTTGGATTTACTATAACCTCATATTTTTCGTCTGAATCTATTGTTTTTTCGTCGTATCCATTGGAATCTAATAGAGTGATGTTAAATAATTCTTTTTTAATATAATTAAGGAATGTATGTTTCTTGCGATCCATTTTGCGTATGTAGGACGTGGTAATCTATGGAGTTAAAAAAAAAATAATATACCTATGTTAATATTAGTGATTATTGGAACTGGCGCCAGCGATTGCTTGGATAAAAATGTAATTTAATTGAACATATACGCAGCGCCAAGTAATTTAGTCTCAAACTATATAGAGCTTCTACTGTTAACACAACTCACAGACATAAGTACTTCTTTTTTACACACGTGAATAGAAATTATCACATTGTGCAGGATCGAACCAGTGACTATCGAAAAGTGAGGCGGTGTCCAAAGCCGCTAGACCGGCAAGGTCATCAAAATGGGAGCTAATAACTACTTACCCGGATGCCCCTTACTTCAGCCTCTTCAAGCTTATCCTGTGCCTTCCTGCAAATGTTCCTGTATGCTATAAACTTCTGTAGATGCACTGCACACATTGCGCACAGGTGATGGGGGTACCCATCGTCTGCTAGCACCTAGGAAAAAAAAAATATTATCATTATTTTAGCCCTTAACTGTTTACTGCTGAACATAAGCCTTCTCCATAAGGGGAGTTTTGCCAGTAGTTGCCACGCTTGGCAGGCGGGTTGGCAACCGTTGGCTTTTACAGATGTTTTAAGAAGGACCCTGCTGCCTATTCCTCCACCGTAGTTAGTCTTTGGTGATGTTTTAGAAGGACGCTGCTGCCCACCCCTCGCCCTCCCTTAGTCGCCTCTTACGACACCCACAGGAAAAGAAAGAAAGGCCCATTCTATGCTGGGACCAACATGGCAAAAATTTAACAAATAATAGTTTATTCAGTAAATATTGTTACAAAGAAAGTTCATACAGTGTAAAATAACTTGGAAGAGGATCTAACAGCGCATCATCAACAGTGATAGCGGAATGGTACTCCCGCCTGTGATATCGGTACACAGTGGCGGGTTACCAGTGAGGGATGATAGGTGCTGACGAAAGCAGGTCTGTTAGCCCATCGTGACGTAATTCACTAGAATCTACAACGATGGTTTTCAGGGGGAACCGCGTGGAGGTTGACCTGATAGGGTACATTGCTAGCAATGGGACTGGTAGTCCGCATTACTAATAATCCCCCTCAAGGTGAAGGCGTTAGGTTTTTTTTTTTAAAGGATGATAATGGAAGGTTAACCCCACCCGCGCTATCGGTATACACTGGCGGGGCACCAGTGAAGGATGATAGGTGAGGATGAAGCAGGTCAGTTAGCCCATCGTGACAAATTCAACAAGAATTGTTCACGATGGTTTCCAGGGGGAACCACGTGGAGGTTGACCTGATAGGGCATATTGCAAGCAATGGGGCTGTCAAACTCCATTACTAACAATCCCTTTCCCCCCGAAGGCGTTAGGTTATGTTTGCCTAAATGGTTCCCGCTCAGTGTTATGCTACAGTCGAGGAGGTACAGCACTGATTTTCATCAGGGGCATTTTGGGTTAGACTTAATTTTATTTCAATTAGTATAGAGGTATTAATACTCTCTCTCTTCGTCCTCTTTATTACTGAAGATCGTGTCCTTGTAAGGTGTCCGTTGCCTTTCTTATGATGTTACTCCATTTCGCACGGTCTTCAGCCTCTCGCAGGGCAGCTGCATTTGACAGTCCCGTAACGGCAGTTACTTGGTCCGACCATCGATTAGGCGATCGTCCGCATGCTCTTTCTCCCTCTATCTTGCCTACAACCATTTGTTTGTCCAGATTGTCGGACTGTCGTCGAGCAACATGACCGAAGTATCCAAGAATCCTCCGACAGCAGACTGTCGAGAGCCTATCTTTTATGCGGAGTTGCGTCAGGATAGATATATTCGTGCGCTTTGCTGTCCAGGGAATACTCAGCATCCTTCGCCAGCACCACATCTCGAGAGCATGAATCTTTTTTCGCTCCTTTGCTCTTATTGTCCATGACTCGACTCCATACAAAAATATTGAGAAAATCCGAGTACGGACTAGTCTTGTCTTGGTGACATTTGAGATCTTTCTGTTATTATTTCAGTTTGGTATTAATACATACATAAAATAGCATTGCCTACATATTATCTGTACACACAATCCAGCACTGTACTATAGACGAGCGTCCTCTGGTGTCGAAATAAAACAAACCAGTGATGTTGGATCGTAGTAAATGAGAAAGTTATTTTATTCAATAATAATACATGTATCTAGCCTACATAACAAATCAAATTATAGTGCCGTCTAACTTTTTGACAGCGCCATCTGTTTTAACCTTAGGTTTTTTTTTTTATTTTATACAACTTAGAATGGCAAACAAGCTAACGGCTCACCTGATGGAAAGTGGTAACCGTCGCCTATAGACATGAGCAGTAGCATGGACATAACAGAGTATACTGTTTCGCCCATGATACCCCCCATGCGTTGCCATTCCTGAGGACTCAGGTGTTATTCCTCTGTACTGTGTAAATTCACGCCATATCCCACCCTTCAAACCGAAACACAGCTATGCAAACACAACTGCTTCACGGTAGAAACACGAATGGGACATACTAAACAATTTTATTACAAACTTATACACTATCATGAGGACACATCACAATTTTATTTAAAAAAAAAAGTAAGCCAGACAGAAGATAGTAGGGAGAACTTCCAAATCAATGCACATATGCGAAATGGGGATGAGCAAATAGTACAATATAAATGTATTATTTACTTGTTGTACAATTAATGAATTAAAACCGTGTGGTCCCGGCATAGAATAGACCACCCTTTCCTTTCCCGTGAATGTTGTAAGGAGTGACTAAGGAAGGGCGAGTGATGGGCAGCAACATCCCTCTTAAAAGATCTTTAAAGCTTAACTGCGGTTGCCAACCTGTCTGCCAAGCTTAGCAACTTACTGAGCGACTGTTTTTACTTAACCCAATAAACAGAAAATAGGTGCAATGAAAGTATATGTATGTATGTATATTAATATAATATATGTTTTATTGGGTATGGTGGGTATAATACACCTGAAGTCGGGGGAAAGGGATTGTTAGTAATGGAGACTGAGAATCCCATTGCTAGCAATATACCCAACCAGGTCCACCTCCTCGCGGTTGTTCCTGGAAACTATCATGGTTAATTCCTGATGAATTCATCATGATGGGCTAACTGGCCTGCCTTCTCATCTATCACCCTTCACTGGTGCTCCGCAAGCATTTACCGTTAGCGCAGACGGGGTTACCATACCATTTTCAACCATAAAAAAAAATACACCTGAAGTGAGATGGAAACTAAATTTAATTAAGTATGTGTTAAAATTAGTGCGGGGGGGGGGGGGCATGTAACCAAACTGTACTGGAATCAATATCAATAGGAGCGCGCAGTAACTATGTGCGAGCACGTCGACAGCACTTATTCGATGTTCCATTACAAAGAACAGAGTTCGCTAAGCAGGCTCCCCTATCTCTTGCATTGAAACTACTCGATGATATTTTGAACCTATTCATCCGTGTATCCGTATATACAGTATCCATAATTTGATGTATTTGCTTCCAACTTGCTGGAGTTTCGTCAAATGACAAAATGTGTATTATTCCTATTTTATACATGTCATTGTACTGATGATTTCCGGGTGAGCATATTGGAAGACCGTAAAGATCATCTAAAAGATGTAATGTAATAAATAAATAATAAATTTACTATACATACATCAAATAAATAATTAATTACAACACGCTTACATTTAAAACAAATCATTGTTAATAAGGCATAACTTATTAAAAAGAAAAATTCTTAAGAACCAAGATGACATACATATTCTGAGGAGTCTCACATGTAAAATCTGCCTTAAATCCATTATCCAATCTGTCCCACTTAAGTTTCTATTGGTGGTCCACTATGTTCTTATAGCCATTTAAACTTGAAATGGGATATATGTAACAATATACGCTGGCAAGGCACCAATGAAGCATGATAGGTGACCCACTGTCATTAATACACTAGGAATTCAGCATGATGGTTTCCAGGGGAGAACAAGTGGAGGTCGACCTGACAGGATGTATTGCTAGCAACTCCTTGCTAGCAATACATCCTGTCAATAGTTAATAATGCGGACTACCAGTCTCCACTGGTAGTCCGCATTATTAACTATTCTTTCCCCTTACCCTTAAGGTATAGCAATGAATAACAGGGCACGAGTACCATACCTTAAGTCTTAGGTGCGTATGAGGGAGTATCATAGGCATTACGGTATGAACGGTTATAAAATAGAAATTAAAGACGACGACGAATTAGTCCTTTGCTTACTTGTTAAATTGATAAAAAAAAAATACTAACCGGAACACCTACGAGCCTTCCGAAATGTTCAAATAGCTTATTTTCAAACATATCATATAGTTTGACATCAGTTGCCAGACATCCACGGCAGGCAAGTACCTCAAACAAATTATTCTGCTTCACCAAATACATAATTAGAATACTTTTTAAGGTAAAAGAAATTATTTGTTAGTTAATACATAATAAAAATTGTAAGATAATTTTTTTTTTTTTTAGTACGTTTGTTCCGTTTGGAACAGGCTAAGGTCGGAGACCATGCTGCCTAGTCTTCAAGAAGATAATTTGTCTGGAATTTTATTTTTCTAATGTCGCTTCAATTATTGTCATAATCTTCAATATTTCATTTGTCAAATCCGGTAAGTACATTTTCATAAATATCTTTTCTTGAGTTTTCTTAAACCAGTGGATTTATCAAATTAAAAATAAATAATTATAATAAATCATTGTCTTGCAATTCAATAAAAGTATTCTTATAGCTCCTTGAATGTTGTAGTAATATAAGTGAAAATAGCTTTGAAACAAGAAGGAAATCTTAAGAGAAGCGGGATTGAGTGCGGGATATTTTCGGGTTTTTTGAAGATAATCCTAAGTTCGTCAAACATAATGTGTCTTTGAATGACAAATTCAGAGCAATCAAAAAAAAGGTGATGTAGAGATTGGGCTGTATTTGAGTTACACCATGTGCATGATGGGGAAGCGATCATGCCCATTCGGTGCAGGTGTTCGTTGAAATGTCCGTGGCCGATTCGTAATCTACAAATATTGGTGTAAAATTTTCTGTTTGTGTCCTTTCCTTTGCAGAACCACGGTTTTCCAATACGCCAATTAATTTTGCGGTACCATTTGCCTTTAGTCTGTAATATTTGAGTCCAATGCTCCTCCCATTTAGTTGTAACGATTTTATGTATTCCAATACTACAATCTGAGTAACAAAGGGGTAAATCTTGAACACGAGCAGCACTTGAATTAATAATTTTAGCCAAAGTGTCTACTTGTTCATTCCCAAACACTCCAATATGTGAAGGGGTCCAGATGAAGATAATATCTTTTCCATATATAGTACAGAGATGATAATATTTATTACGAATTTCTTGAATTAAGTAGTTTGATGATGAAATGATTGTGTTATTTTTTAATGCCATAAGAACACTCATACTATCTGTAATTATAATCCATTTCGAATATAGTACCTGTTTTTCTATGTATTCTAATGCTAAAAATATAGCTTTTGCTTCTGCTGTGTAAATACTAGCCAAAGTTGAAATTTTATAACCGTGACCAAATCTATTAGACAAATCGTAAAAAGCCACTGAAGTGCTAAGTGCATTTTTGGAACCATCTGTATATATCTGCCTGTAGTCAATAAATTCTGATAAAGTCTCATACATATCGTGCTTTTCTTTTATGTCTTTATGTATAACAATTTTGATCTTACAGAACTTACTCTCATAAAGGCCATTATAACAAGGAAGTATCTTACTACTATAGATGTTATATTCATCTCGTAAATTCAAATCATTGATAATAGTTTTATTCAAAAACATAGAAATGGGGCAATTTAATAATTTGAGTATGAGTGGGTTATTGGAAACTGAAAAAACTTTGAAGAGAAATTTGAGTTTTAGGTATTCGAAACGAAGAAGGATAGGAGGCAAATTACATTCTACTTGCATTGAGATAATTGGAGAAGTATACATAGCACCTAAAATAAGTCTTAAATTCATATTTTGAATTTTTTCGAGTTTTTCTACTAATTTATGTTCTGAGGCATAACAAAAGAAAGCGTAATCAAAATTACTTCTAACAAGAGATTTGTAAAGTAAAAGGATAATTTTAGGATCAGCTCCCCAGTTACGACCAATTACAGATCTTATTATATTAGTGGCTCTTAAAGCACGATCTACTAAGCAATCAACGTATAGATCCCATTTTAAATTTTGATGAAAAATTACCCCCAGAAATTTAACGCTACAGTCTGTTGGAAGAGTTTGATTATTATATATAATATTCATTAATGGAACATATTTATGAACTTGATGAAAAACAACTACTTTACTTTTGGTTAAACTAATATCGAGGGAAAGAAGAGAAAAATATTTCTCAAGTCTTTTTAATGACTCATTTAACACTAATTGCATATCAATAATATTCTTTCCTTTTATATAAATTAATAAATCATCGGCAAATTGCAAGTTGTTCACACTGTTTCCTAAAACTAAATTAAGTTTATAGATATATAAAATATATAGTAGCGGGCTTAAAATACCACCTTGACATACTCCTTTAGAGCTTAACCTAGGTCCTATTAATTTACTATTTACTTTAACATACACTTCTCTATTACTAAGAAAATTATAAATCCATTCGATAAGTTTCATTGGAAGAAATGAGGATAGAATCGAAGATAGAACTGTTAAATTTACATTGTTAAAAGCTCCTACGACATCTAAAAAAACAGATAGAACATATTCATCGTTATTCAAAGCAGTACTAAGGTCGACATAGAAGTTCGCTAAACTTTCGCGCGCTGAATATCCACGGCGAAAACCAAATTGATTCGATGGTAATATACTATTACTTTCAATAAAGAACTCTAAACGCTGTTTAATTAATTGTTCGAATAATTTGCCTGCACAGGACGTCAATGTTATAGGTCTATAGGAGTCGAAATTTGTAGGATCTTTACCGGGTTTAATTACTGGAATCAAACAATCCATTTTCCATTCTGGTGGGATAATACAGTCCTTCCATAAATCGTTAAAAATTTGTAAGAGTTTAGTAAGGTTTATTTTATTCAGCAATCGAAACATATTGTATGTTAAGCGATCAAGGCCACTAGCTGTATCTTTTCTAGATTTTACTGCACTGGATATTTCATCAATTGAGAATGGGTCAGTGAGAAATTTTGGGCATGAATTAACAGAATTAAACTGTTTGTCATCAAAAGGTGAGTGTACAAAATCAGGAGTATATTTGCGTAAAAAATCATTGACCCATGATATATCTTTAAAATGATTTTGACGATGTTTTGAATTTAGTTTTCTCATATTTTGCCAAACAGTGGAAATTGGTGTTAATCTATTAAATTTGGAACAAAATTCCTGCCACCCCTGTTGTCTTACTTGCTTAATTACTAACTTTTTAACAGCTTGAACTCTTTTAAAATTTATGTAATTATCGAGAGTTGGATTTTGTTTAAACCTAAGGTAAGCCGCTTTACTATCATTGACAGCTGTCGCACACCTGTTATTCCACCAAGGTACTGCAATATGTTTGTGCCTCTTTGAAGTATTTGCACCGCTATTTGATAAGTTCCTACGTGGAACGGAACGTTCCACAGCTGTCAAAATAATTTTACAGAACCTATTGTAATTGTTTAAGGGTTCATTGACATCATACTCGAAATCCAAAAGTAATTGATTAACAGCTTCAGAATAAAGATCCCAATTAACGAGACGTAGGTTTATACGATTTAACAAAAGTTTATTAACTTCATCTATAGGAGCATGTTGTTCACCTGACGGAGTTGATGAAGAGTTCTTTGTGTTTATTTTAGTAAAAGTCGGCAGGTGATAACTTCCTAACGGATCATCATGAACCGACCACTCGCATTTTAATGATATGGATGGGGATACCATAGTTAAATCAAGGCCATTGGGTCTCCAAATATGAGAGCCAACAGTAGTAACTTGCTTATCATTTAATAGTACCAAATTACATTCATCTAAACAATCAAGAATGTCTTTACCTCTTGTATTAGTGGAGGTACAACCCCACATAGTATGATGTGCATTTAAATCTCCAGATATGATAGTGGGTTTAGGAAGAGACTCCAAAAAGAACTTAAATTTGGCTTTAGTAAAACTAGGTGTACTATTGGTAGGACAGTAAATACTGGCAACTGAATACCAAGAATTATTAACTTCAATACTAATAGCTATAGTTTGCAAAGAATTGTCGAAAAAAGAGTGAAGTTTTTTATATCTAATACTATTATGTATAATAATCGCTACTCCATTGTGGTTATTACCACAATCATTTCGTTCTATACAATAATCTTTAATTTTTAATTTGTAATGTGATTTTAGCCAAGTTTCTGAGATGAGAGCAATGTGAATATGATGTTCATTTAAAAATTGTGTAAAAATATGTCGATTGCTCAGTAGGCTCTGAGCGTTCCACTGTATGATAGTTAATTGGTCTCGATTGAATTTTGTGAAATAGGTCTATTACCAAAAGTATCATATAACACATTCAAAACACTTTTAGTGTTAATAGATGTGTTCTTTGTGTTATGTAGTGAAATAAGTTTGATTATGCTTTCTATTAAAAGTGATAAACTCTTGTTATCAGAATTTAGAATTGAAATTAGGTCTACATTTTTTTTAGGTTTGTTACCCAGTTTAGGAAATATTTCAGTGCTAAGTATATCTCCAAAAGAAGCAGGTCTGAATTTAGATCTATTTTCAGCAATTTTCTTTTGTTTAACAGGGCATTGCGGTGATACACTTGTGTGATTTCCATTGCAGTGTACACAAATAGCTTTTTCCATTCCAGTTGTACAAGTTTTATAATTATGCTCACCTTTGCAGATGCTGCAACGCTCAGAATTCTTACAGAATTTAGCTAAATGTCCATACCTCAAGCACCGGTAGCATTGTTTAACTGGTGGTATATATGGAGTGACATTGTGGCGCCAACCTCCAATATCCAGATATTCAGGTAATACAGATGCAGCAAAAGTAATTGTCACGGTTAGAGTTGGCTGTAACACATATCCATGAGTCAAGGTATTTTTTCTTAAAATTCTTTTAATAGCAATAATTTTCTTAGAACTCGATATCATAGTATATATTTTTTTATTAGATATATTTGTAGGTACATTTCTAATAACGCCTGTAACTTCTGTTGAAGAAGCAGGAATACTGGCCTTAAAATGGTAGTCATTTAAAAAAGTTTTATTATTTAAAAAAGCATTGGCTAAGTCTGGCTTTTGAAAGTATACTCCGATTTTGAATTTATTTATAGATCTAAGATAAGTTACCCCTTTATTAAATCGTTTTAAACAGGAGGAGAGTGAGAGCAAGTCTCTGGATCCAATGGTTTTCTGACTATCTGAGGATTCAACAAAGACAACAAATTCTGTCCCAGGGGATTCCTCGGGATATCTTCTAATATAATCTGTGACGTAGTAAGGTTTATACTTATCGGCCTTATCAATTTCAGATTCTGAGTCAGTAGAAGTATCTTCCGAATATATATCCTTGTCATTACAAGGTTCATGGTCTACATCACCTGAATCGTCATCTTTTTTTTTCCTTTTTCTACAACTGCGCTTCCCCATGAATGCTAATTATATTACTGTCGCTGAATTTAGTGAAAATATAATATTTTATTCAATAATAAGAATTGATAGAGATAGTTTTAATAAATTAATAAAAAAAATTTAAAAAACCCGCTTGTTCTTATTCGAGTTTCCCGCCCTTTTTTCATTTTAAGATAATACTAAAAGACGGACAGCTGACATTGACAGATCATAACATAGATATTTTGTTTTTTTTTTTCATTTATTGTGACTTTGGCGAAAGCCATCAGCCAAAAAGTAACAATTACAAGGTAACAATAACATAACATAGATAATTAATAATTACATTCATACTTCACACAGACAGATTACAGAAAGTAAACTAGACATAAATTAAAAGACCTAAATTATTGCCACAGATATATAAATTATTGCTTTGAATTTATTTAATTCATTATATTTTCATTGCGAACAGATAACGGCTGGTATGTAACTCCGTTAAATATTTTTTTTATACGACTTAGAATAACAAACAAGCTGACGGCCCACCTGATGGGAAGCGAGAACCGTCGCCTATAGACATGAGCAATACCATGGACATAACACAGTATACTGCTTCGTCCATGATACCCCACATGCGTTGCCATTTCTGAGGACTCAGGTGTTATTCCTCTTTACTCTGTAAATTCGCGCCATATCCCACCCTTCAATTGCAGCAATTGGTTTTTGTACAAAGTCTCCCTCTGGTAAATATCCATACGAATCATAAGATCTTCTATAAACTTTATGGACTTAGTATCTCTAAGTACTTTGTGGTCTTAATCTTTCTCGCTTAACTTCTCGGTAGTAAAGATTTTAGAATAGCTTGATAGTAAATACTCCTTGTCAATAAAATAAACAATTAATGTCTTTGCTTTTAAGTTCTTTAATGCATTCTAAAGATACAAAGGTTTTAATATGACTACTTTTTATTTATCTATATCAATTTAACACATCGATAAAAATATAAACGCGGCGATAAAAATACTATACGGATTTTTGCGTTTTATCTATGGTTAAAATAATATTTTATTGCGGCGTAATGCGTAGTTACCATAGATTAAGAATAGTCTAGTATCTACGGTAGGTACGCCAAAGTTTACTTTCATATCGTAGATCCTATTATTCTCCATCTCTATAAATTTCTATTTTATTAAGTTTGTCATCTTCGGCTTCGTATCCAAAGACATAGGCATTGGTAGTCCTTATTCTTAGGTTTAATCTAATTGTTTTGCTCACAGTGAATGTATAATAATTTGAAATTAATTAAATATGAATAGATTAAAGATAATCACATCCAACGATTTGTTGGCGTGCCGTGCCTGTCTCACTACAGACGTGAGGCTTTATAACATTTTTGAACATGAACTATGGGGACAATTTTATAAGTTAAGCGGCTGTCAGGTTTGTATGTTTATATTTATTTCCAAACAAATGCTAAATTTCTATTAATTTACCAATTAAGGTTACCCCTGCTAGAAATCGTCTACTTTATTGGCTGTGCAACATTCTTATTTACACGTTGAATTGAAAATAAATTGGTATTTATATGTTGATTGTAATATGTATTAAACCCATCTTTTTGCCCGTTACTTGGTACGTTACGAAAAAAATACAGAAGTAGGGAAACCAACGAATTAGAAAACTTCTAAATGGCGTCTCGAGACAAACACACGTCAGATATTAAGTAAGATCTTCGGAAACAACACTTAAAACTGCATCCAATTTGGTGCAATAGTTTTTGATAAATATAAAAACAAAGATATAGACACAGAATTTCTAAATATCATTATTTTGGCCTCATAAGACTCCTCTTACTTTGTGTTACTGTGGCACATACAGTTGCAGGGAGTCGGTGGACGCAAGGTGGCTCAGGACCGTTCTTTATTGCAGTCTATGGACAAAGCTTATGTCCAGCAGTGGACTGATAATGGCTAAAATGATGATGATAATGGCACATGCATGAGAAAAAAAAATTTTACTTATTTTGTATATTTTGCTTTTTCTTTTTGTATATGCATTCTTTTATCTCTTTCTACTGTTCGTGTGTGTTATTATTTGTGTGCTGTAAGTAATGCAAATAAATTATAAATCTATTTATATTATTTTCTCTTAAATGTATTCTAATGTAAAGACTTTTTTCATAGGCTACGGTAACCGCTTACCGTCAGGTAGGCTGTATACTTGTTTGCCAGTGCCTCAGTGGTATAAAAAATATATAATTCTAATTTTATTATATCTGTAATGTAATATATTTATTCGAGTATATTTAATAGAATTTTTAATTATTCGAACATCAAGACTAAAGAAGACTATTTGATTACCTAATTAATAATTGTTTAGATTCTGTAAAAGACTCTTTAAAAAATTGTAATTTTTGATACTGGACATTGTAAAAACATAACATTGACTTATTGTTCATAATTGTAATTTATTGTAATTAATTTTATAAACATTATTATGACTATTTATTTTAGTAATTGTAAAAAAAAAAATACACTCCGAAATGGTAAATATTTATGAACAATTGTAATTTAAGATCTGCTACTGGTGATCACCAATATTTTATAAATAAATAAAAATTTAATTAAATAATTTAATTAAATTTTTATTTATTATTATTACTATTATTTCTTATCTTTATTCCCATGTTTATCTTTTTCTATCATTTTCGGATATTGATTGTATAAAAACTCTTTATCTATCTTATGTAAGAAGCGTTTTAGAGTATTGCAGCATAATATGGAACCCAAACTATATAATTTATAAGCAGACGTTAGGAAACATTCAGAAAAAATTCTTAAAACATCTAAATTATAAAACAAGAAGCACTAGTACTGATTATCATGAAATGTGTAAGAAGTACAATCTTATTTCTCTTGAAGATAGGCGTTCTCTTCTTGATATGATGTTCTTGAGAGATATTTGTAATAATGGTATAGACTGCCCGGATCTTGTGTGTAACGTGTTGCGTCTCCGTACTCCTAAAATCCGTACCAGAAATCCTCCTCTTTTTGCAGTTCCAACCAACCATACCAATTACTCTCAGAACTCAATAGTTTGTCGTCTAATGAATTCATATAACAAACTTTTTTCAACAGTGGATTTATTCCACCTCAGTAGATATAAATTCAGGGCTGTGATAATGGATGAAATAATATCATAATTACCTATGTTGCATATATGTACATGCACGTATATACATACACTACATATTTACATTCATTTATATCATACTATTATACATTTATTTATATCACACTACACATACACCCACGCATACATTTGACCCTCTTTACAATTGGTGACCATGATTTTGTATTATTTAATCATTGCTGTCAATATCTGAACTTTAGCAACATGGATTTTAATTATTTTATACATCAATTAACTTAACTTTATGGACACTCACTATTATATATGGTTCCTTACATACATGTGCTTATATTGCTTGCATACACCCACTCTAACTTGCCTACCTCACTATGGAATCAAAATTTTTGTTTGTATAAGTAAAATCCGTTATTGGCTGTATTTATAAGAGACTTAGCATGTAAGTTATTTTTTAAGAGCTGTGGATTTTTGTATAAAATGAAAAAATAAAAAAAAAATAAAAAATAAAAAATCTTATATATTTATCACTGTTTTATATATTATTCTTATATATTTATACATTACATCTCTTGCACACATGTGTCCGTGAGTTACATATTAAGGGCCTACTGAAAATCAGTGTCGTAGCTTCAGATTTGAAACTGCGACATATACTGAGTTAGGTTCTTTGCACAAACACTGCTACATTCATTTTGTTTTTTATATGTTTTTCTTTTTATTCTAAATTAAAAAAAATAATTTAATTATCCATACTTTTTCTTCAGGACTCTTAATTATTGATTTAGGAATTATGTATTCATGTATTAATTGGGTAAATAAATAATATGTAATCTATTATCCTGGGGGGAAAGGGATTGTTAGTAATGGAGACTGAGAATCCCATTGCTAGCAATATACCCAACCAAATCCACCTCCACGCAGTTCTCCCTGGAAACTATCATGGTTAATTCCTGATGAATTCATCATGATGGGCTAACTGGCCTGTTTTCATTCTCATCTATCACCCTTCACTGGTGCTCCGCCAGCGTATCCCGTTAGCGCAGGCGGGGCTACCATAACATTTTCACCTGTCCAAAAAAATTTTTAAATAAAAAAAAAACTATTATCTTTATAGCTTGTATTTTTTTGTATTATAACCTTAAAAGGACGTAAAACTCTTTACATAAAAAAAAAAAAAAAATATTAAAATTTAATTATTGTTTGATTTGCCTTTGAAATCGATCATCTGGATTTTCAATTCTTATTTTTTGAGTTTTATTTCATTTGTAAATTTTTTTTCAGGTGAAAATAGACGACGGTTACCCCCAGTATCTATGCAGCATTTGCGCTGCTCAGCTGCAGAAGTACTCGTCGTTCAGGAACATGTGCAGGAGGGCGCGAGATATGCTGCACGGCATAGGGATATCCAGGGTGCAGGTAAGACTTTTTTCTAATGGCCTACGGTTCTTTTTTTTAATGAATGATAATGGAATGGTAACCCCACCCGCGTTATCGGTACACATAGGCGGGGCACCAGTGAAGGATGATAGGTGAGGATGAAGTAGGTCAGTTAGCCCATCGTGACGGATTCAACAAGAATTGTTCACGATGGTTTCCAGGGGGAACCACGCGGAGGTCGACCTAATAGGGCATATTGCTAGCAATGGGGCTGTCAAACTCCATTGCTAACAATCTGTTATTGTGGATATTTATTTATAATAAAATAACTAATAATTTTATAATGCTGTTTCTTTATTCACTTATTTTCCACAGACTATCTGTATATTATTTTTATTACCATAGACTGAGAGTAGGCAAAAGCATAAACTTATACATTCTTAACACAATCCCTTTCCTCCCAATGGCCTACGGTTATCTCAGTGTAACATTTTCTTGTAATTGTAGTACTTTTATTATTTACATATGTAGGTATATAGAGCTGTTTTTATTGTATTATATATTCAATTTTTTCTTACTGGGTATTATTTAGTTTATCTTTAATTGTACGGTTATTACCCTTGTACATTCTACAGTTTTCTTTCAGCTTCTCAAAGGTTGACTGTAAGAGATCCCTTTATGGGATAAGTCCGCCATTGTATACTAAATAATTTACTAGTATTTAATCTGACTTATGTACAATAAAGATTTTTACAATACAATACAATTAAGTTTACTATTGTAATCTAATGGAGGTAACAATAAAGGGTGTCTGTCTATGAATTTAAATTTGTATTAAATATTAAATTTTCACAGTTAACCACCGATTACATAAGGAACATGGATCTAGAGAATCATCATGCGTTAAATTTGTCCAAACGTGAAATATACAAATGTAACTTCATGTCGCAAACTGAAATAAATGAAAGTTTCGACGATGCCATATATTTAAACGATGACGCGTTTAAAGGTGAACATGATGATTACAAGGAGGTGTTGCATATAGATATGAACGATGACAACGACCCGGAAACGGTGCGCACCGATGATGAGAGCGAATCGGTGAACGTAAAATTCGAGAGTTCCGAATATCTGTACGATTCGTGTGACAATGACGAGAAAATATTCGATTCGAACGATGAAGACGCCGATGATATAGTCATGAAACAGGAAGCGTCCAGTGATAACGGTCTCGGCGATGATGCTGGTGATTATTTAACTATAATAGTTACAGATAAAAAGTTAAACACCGATTTGGATTACTTGAATTTGAACGACAAAGATGTGAAACAGCTATTGGAAAGTTTCGCTCGGTCCAACAAAGGCGTGGTCAGCGCGAACTCTAGAGGGTACGCAGTTAAAAAAGGTAAGGTTTTATTTTTTATACCACTGAGGTGGCAAACAAGTATACGGCCCACCGTTATAAGCGGTTACCGTAGCCTATGAACGCCTGCAATACCAGATGTATTACGCGCACGTTGCCGACCCTGAAGAAACCTATTTACCCCCCTTTTGAAGAATCCCATGTTGTAGTCTCTTGGGAAAACCTCGGCAGGGAGCTCATTCCATAACCTGAGTGTTCGTGGGAGAAAACATCTCTGAAACCGCGTTGTATTTTTGTATTACAAAGGTGGTAAACAAGCATACAGCCCGTCTGATGGTGATCGGTCACTGTAGCTTATGGACGCCTGCAACACTAGGGATGTCACGTGCACGTTTTTTTTTTTAATAGATGATAATGGAATGGTAACCCCGCCTGCGCTATCGGTATACACCGGCGGGGCACCAGTGAAGGATGATAGGCGAGGATGAAGTAGGTAGGCATATTGCTAGCAATGGGGCTGTCAAACTCCATTGCTAACAATCCCTTTCCCCCGTCACGTGCACGTTGCTGAGCCTGAAGAAACCTTAATGTACCCATTTTGAAGAACCCCATACTGTAGTCTCTAGGACGGTATTTCCGAACGTGGGGCCCACGCCCACAGAGGGCCAATTTAATAGTTAAAGGGGGGTAATTAAGAAATGGGCTCGAAGCGATTTTAACCCTCTTGCTTCGGGTCATTTAAATTTAATACTACAAAAAAAAAATGCTGTAAATATTTATTAGGTATTATTTCGTTTGACGTTACCAAAATATCAACTGGGCGATTAGAGTCGTCAAGTAAACTTTGTCAGGAAAAATTATGTATGGGGGCATAAAAATTTTAGAAATGTTCAAGTGGGGCATGGCACAAAAAAGGTTGGGAAACACTGCTCTAGGAAAATCTCGCCAGGGAGTTTATTTTACAGTCTGAGCATTCGTAGGTATTGACTTATTGTTCCTCTTTTTACTTCAAACCCTTTTTTGGACAAGCAGTCGGTTAATGGAACTCGCTCCCTACCTTTATAGGCTGTACTCAATCTGTGGCTGTTTTGAAACGACATCAAAATAAGTTTCTCAATTTGTTTGTATTGGCGTGTATTCAATGCGTGGCGCGTATTCAATTGGCGTGAATTTACTGGGTACAGAGGAATAACACCTGAGTCTTCAGGAATGGCAACGCATGGGGGGTATCATGGGCGAAACAGTATACTCTGTTATGTCTATGGTACTGCTCATGTCTATAATAAATAATAATAATAATAATTTTTATTTCAGACTTTTTGGTCCATTAAATATTTATTAGTAACAATATTCTTAAAAACTAATGTTAGTAAATTTACATACACAATACACATACACACACATACACACATACAATATATTAAGTAGTATACAGATAATCACCGCTGCACAATTCCATTGGAAATTGCGCAGCAGTGATTAACGTACACACAGTCCAGCCTGCTTGCTATCATACTCAGGATGCTGTTGGTGCTGGCACGTACTCTGCGCACCAGGGATGCACACCTTTTTCGCATCGTGGCATAAAAACAATCTACACGATGCTCAGCGAACATCCCTGACGCGCTGCAGAATCGTGGCAGCCCCATCAACACCCTGAACGCGTTATTATATTGGATACGGAGGTCGCTGTAGGATTTTTGAGTATATACAGCCCACAGGTTGCATGCATAGAAAGATGTGCAATGTGATCTAAATAACGTAATTTTAACTTGTCTAGAGCACCGCGCAAACCTGCGTGCTATCATATTCGCCCTCACCGCCAGCGCCCTCCGCTCCCGTTCAATGTCATCATCATCTTTGAGATCCGAGGCCAATTGATGTCCTAAATATTTAAATTTATACACCCTCTTCAGCGCTATACCCTTAAGTTTAATATCTGGAAAGCCTATTGAGTTTTTGCCTCTGCTCTCAAAGACCATGACCACACTTTTCACAGCATTGTATATCAGTCCGTGGCATGCAGCATATGACTCGCAAATAGCCACGAGTTTTTTAAGCCCACATATCGACGCGCTGAGCAGCACCATGTCATCAGCATAACTTATATTATTAACATTAATGCCGTCTATGTGACAGCCGACACGGGTACCACTCAAAGCAACAATCAGATCATTAATATACAGATTAAATAGTACCGGCGAAGACAACCCTCCTTGCCTCACACCACACTCCAATCTGTATGACTGCGACATAGTCCCCGCCCATCGCACGCTATTGAGCTGATTTCCATACCAATATTTGCAGATATTTATGAGCTCTGATGGTAATTGAAAATTGAAAATAGGCGACGGTTACCACTTTCCATCAGGTGGGCCGTCAGCTTGTTTGCAATTCTAAGTTGTATAAAAAAAAAGTTTTTTTTTCTTATATATGTTACCTCATAATTTTGTCAGTTGTAAATAGATTAAGAGATTTTTTTACCTGAATAACATACCGATTTTTGAGGTCTTTTTTGTAGTTTTTAACCCTTCTTTGCATGATTTTTTTTATTGGTGAAATAAATCAAGGTGATATAATTCATGTTAAAAATTAAAGGAAAAATGGTTAAACAAATAAATTTGACAGCTATGGTTTTTTTTTCTGCAATGGACATTAAAAAGGTATCCAGACACGATCAACTTAAAGTGAACTTGGTTTTTTTTATATAATTTTTGGACATTCAATGTTATGATGGAAATTTCCACCATTATGCAAAGAATTGTTAATGGTAACATTAAGTGCAAAATGTTTTTTTTTTTGGCAAGCAAAAGTTTTTTTTTTTTAATATCGTCAAAGGGTGTATTCTAGTTTAGGTCTAGTGTCGCTCATTATGAACGCTTTTAAGTCTATTTGTATATTTTTTTCTTACAAAGGAAACTCGAAAAGGATACAATCCAAAAAGGGAATCGCCGATGACAAAGATGAGAGACCGAAAAAAAGCAAGAAGGGTCGAATCCAAGACCTGATTGGTACGACAAAAGAGTTCGCCGAGCAAAACAACTTCGAGCTGAGGATATTCACGCGCGAGGAACAGCTGGAGGAGATCAGGGCTTTAAAGGAGCAGGCCTCGGCCAAGTTCCACTGCGACCAGTGCGGGATGGGTTTCATATATCGCAGCAAGTTCCTGAACCACTACAAATGCCGTCACGACCCGTCCAACGGAGATTATGTCTGCGAAATATGCAACACACGATTCCATCAGAAGCGTTACTTGTACAACCACGAGATATTTGTGCATCTATTCCAATATATATGCAAAACGTGTGGGTTCGTGACCCGTGCACGAGGCACGGCTGAGGCACACGCCGCCTTCCACGCGGGAAAGGTGTACACCTGCCAATGCGGCAGGACCTTCGGCCATTACTCGAGCTATCTATCCCATAAACGGTTAACGCACACGTCCGAGTTGAACCGCTGTGAATACTGTGGCGAGTCGTTCATCGGGGAGCTAGGCGTGCGTATGCATAAAAGGAAAATCCACGGGGACGTGAGGGAGTCGCGTCTGTTCGGGTGTGACCAGTGTGAAGCTAAGTTCAGGACGGAGGAGGCGTTGGGCAAGCACCAGAGCTCGTACTGCGGTGGTCACAACTGTGTCAATTGTGGTGAGGTGTTCAGCACGGAGAATCTGCTGACATACCATCTTGTGCAGAGTCATAATCACAGGAACACGTCCGAGGAACTGAGCGAGTGTGGTACGTGTAAAACGAGGTTCCACAACAATGGAGCGCTGTGGAGGCACTTGGAGGACAAGTGTGGGCAGGTTGTCCCCTGCTTGCAGTGCGGTGAAGGCTTCAACACTGAGGAGGAGATGAACGAGCATCTGAACACGCATTCGACTGATGAATTCAAATGCGAAGTGGTAAGTTGTGTTGGCATGGCTGTGTTTTGGTTTGAAGGGTGGGGTATGGCAGTGAATTTACAGGGTACAGAGGAATAACACCTGAGTCCTCAGGAATGGCAACGCATGGGGAGTATCATGGGCGAAACAGTATACTCTGTTATGTCCATGGTACTGCTCATGTCAGCTTGTTTGCCATTCTAAGTTGTATAACAAAAAAAAAATTCAATCCTCAATCCCAAACTCTTGTTCATTTGGAAAATTAGCCCGACCAAGAATTGAACCTGAAACCTGATTTACGCAAAGCAACCCCACCAATACACCACAAAGGTAACCTGACATGGCGTTCAATGTTGTAGTGTAAAAAGACATACCGGTCAGCCCATTTCTTCGCCGAGCACTACGCCAGCTGTCACTCCTCGACCAAGGACCACGTGAGAATCCACAGGAAACCAAGGAAGCGGACGCTGCGCGATTCAGAGGGGGAGAACACCAAGAGGGAGTCAACGAGGACACCAAGGAAGGTCATGTGCGACGTCTGTGGACAGCTGTGTTTGGTAAGTCGACCTTAGTTTTATATATATATATATATATATATATATATATATATGTGTGTGTGTGTGTGAAAAAATTTTATATATATATATATATATATATATGTGTGTGTGTGTGTGAAAAAATTTTGGGGCTCTTCAAACAGGGGGTTAAAAAGGTTTCTTCAGGCTCGCCAATGTAGGCGTAATACTCCTGGTATTGCAGGCGTTCATAGGCTACGGTAACCGCTTACAATCAAGTGGTATAAAAATATAACAAAAGGGGCACCAGTGAGGGATGATAGGTGAGGATGAAAAGACAGGCCAGTTAGCCCATTGTGACGAATTTAAAAAATAATTAACTACGATGGTTTCCAGGGGGAACAGCGTGGAGGTCGATCTAGCACCACCATAGTCAGGTTTAAAAGATATTTTAAGAGGGATGTTGCGGCCCATACCTCGCCCTCCCTTAGTCGGTTCTTACGACACCCACGGGAAAAGAACGGGTGGCCTATTCTATGCCGGGACCATACATACATACATACATAATAAATTAATTTTTATTATTTATGTTTACAGGAAAGCATCTATCCAGCCCACCTCAAAAGCCATTCCGGCGTGGAAGCCTACAACTGCACAATGTGTCCGAAGAGGTTCACGCTGCCGCTGGCGTTACAGGTATTGTATACTAGTTTTTTTTTGTCCAACTTAGAATGGCAAACAAGCTGATGGCCCACCTTTTGGAAAGTGGTAACCATCGCCTATAGACATGAGCAGTACCGTGGACATAACAGAGTATATTGTTTCGCCCATGATACCACCCATGCGTTGCCATTCCTGAGGACTCGGGTGTTATTCCTCTGTACCCTGTAAATTCAGGCCATATCCTACCCTTCAAACCGAAACACAGCCATGCAAACACAACTGCTTCACGGTTGAAACACGAATGGGATAGATGTGCCCAAGCAACGTAGACGTTGGACTGAAGCCGTCCATTTTGTCTATGCGTGTTGAGTCAGGGGAGTCGGTAGAATATTACGCGATTGGAGGGTATTACAATATTTATAGGGATGTGGCCTTCTTAAACAGAAGGCAAAAGAGGATGGGGAAGACCGAGGAATGACTACATGGAACAGATAAAGGAAACACTAGGTGTCTTGTCGTATAGAGAGGTCAAGGATATGGCCTTGGATAGAGCTGGCTGGAAGAGGATGCATGAATTAGTTGCACCGACAAGAGGGAACTCTTAAATTAACAGTGGAATATAATTTTTTATAATTATGTTACAGTCTCATATGAAAACACACACTGAAGAGCGTCCGTACGAGTGTGGCGAGTGCAAGAAGAGGTTCAAGTTGCGGGGCGCCGTCAAGCGACACGTCATGGAGGTGAGGACCTAATGTTACCTGTACAATCAAAATTGGCCGTGCCCACGTTGAATCAACGACTATCAAAACGTTTATTACATCTAGACAGAAAAAAACCTCAAAATAATGATAGGGACAATAACGGGCCATTGTCCATTAAACAAACATTTATACACAATAGGAGCCACAGACAGCCCTCTATGTCGAGGCTGTTTCGACGCCGAAGGAACGGCTGCTCACGTAATCCTGGCATGCGAAGTTGTGGCCCATCAACGTTTAGAAATCCTCGGAACGGTGAGGTCGCTCCGTGAGGCCTGTGAAGAACCCAGGAGGCTTCTGCGCTTCTGGGCGGAGCTAGGTTGGCTGTACTAGCCACGACTCATACGCACAACGGCCCAAATGAGAGGCTAAGCGTGGAAAATGGAGTCTTTCTCACATTCACATTACCTGTACATTGTCATCTCAACCATTATCCGTCCACTGCTGGACATAAGTCTCCCCCATAGATGGCCATAAGGAACGGTCCTGAGCCGCTTGCATCCACTGGCTGCCTACAATGCATTTGAGGATGTCACCCCATCTAGTAAGGGGTGCCCAGGGGGAAAGGGATTAGTAATGCGGACTACCAGTCCCATTGCTAGCAATATACCCTATCAGATCGACCTCCAGGTGGATACTATCGTGCTGAATTCCAGATGTATTTATCACGATGGGCTAACGGACCTGCCGTTTCATTCTCATCTATCATCCCTCACTGGTGCCCCGTCAGCGTATACCGATAGCATAGGCGGGGCTGCCATTCCTTTATCATCCATTAAAAAAAAGTAGCTAAAAAAGTAAGTTAAAAAAGTAGTAACAACTGCTTCACGGTAGAAACACGAATGGAACAGAGGTGGCCAAGCAAACGATTTTTGTACAAAGCCAAACTTCACCTTTCACATTCTGTATGCTAGATTTAACTATCAATTTTCTAATTTATAATTTCAGGTCCACTTCGCAGTCAGACCGTATCAGTGCCATTTCTGTCTAAAATTCTTCGAAAACAAAGACTCTGCGCAAGACCATATGAAAGCCGTTCACGTGAAGACACCCGCGTCGCCTCGGATTAAAATACGTCGACAAAGCTCTACGGATTAAAAGGCGCGGGAAACAGTTTTTCTTTTTTATTGCTTGTGTCACTTTGAAGCGCGGGAAACGTTTATGACGTTAACTGTCAGACAAAAGCGCGGGAAATGAATGTTTACAATGTGTTTTTTTGGTACATTCGTTCTCTAGAGGTACAGGCTAAAGTCAGAGGCCACGCTGCCAAGTCTTAAATGAATCTAATTTTTTTAATCGTCTTGGCATGAATTTTTTAAAGAAATATAAAATAGTTTATTGCGTAAAATATCTAGAATTAAAAAGTTTTTTGTTGATTTATTATGTAGTACTTACCATAGGAATATTATTTTTATTTTATCACCCGATTTAAAAAAAAAATAAGGCTAGTTTTTTTTAGGATAAGTACAAGTCGTGTAAAGGAATTAATTTTATTTAATAAAAAATACACGAGACATTGTCTTTCTTTTTTACAGTTGGTTTAACATTTTAAAGTTTGTAAATGCGTAGTTTTCGTCCGGAAATATTTAGCCCCTTATTCGTAAAACTAAATCCCACAAACGCATTTTAGCTATTGAACTGTTTTGGCAGTTTATTTCAAAGTGGGAATTAAATACGAAAGGCAAAGACAAAACACTTCAGTAGCTGAAAAATGTTTAAGAGAAATTTATTTGTTTGTAACACTTTATTGTACAGTAAAGTCTTAAATTATAAGACATAGAGTTCTTGAGAACAGAATGAGCACAATGGTGGACTTATCACATAAAAGAGATCTCTTCCAGTCAACCATTGATAGTTTGATGTATTTATAAATCAAATGTTAATCTGTACAATAGATTAAGTTTAGCTTGTCTATAGCTTTATTGACTTTTTTTTAAATAATGACGTAATTTGCAAATTTTACTTAAAAAAAAAAATAATTTTTAGGGAGATAAGAGCGCGTTGTAAAATCTTAACTTTCAAGCGGTCGCGTGGTGTCGAATTCGATTGTATTCGAATCATTGTTAACTTAACCTAATTAAAAAAAAATTGTCTATACTCTGTTACTAAGTATATAATAATAATAATAATGAAGTAAATAATATATTCTTTATTACAGATTACTAAGATCCATTTTTGTTAGTAACAATTGACTTAAACTATGTTAGTAGAAAAAAAAAAATACAAAATTCATTTTATGGCCCCTATAACAATTTTGACCCACAACGAGAGGATCGGGCTATCGTATTTATTACACAATGCGCACAGAATGCTGTTACTGTTGCCATATCGGTATAAAAGAGATGCGATCCGTTTGCGTCTGATGGCATAGAAGTCATCTGTCCATGCCGCTGCAAACATTGTGGATGCACTACAAAAACGTGGCAGCCGCAACAACACCCTGAAAACATTATTGTACTGAACGCGCAGAGCGCTGTATGGCCGCTGCTCGTGGAAAAAGATTGGCAATATGCCTTGAACAATATTATATAGCTACTAGTAATTTATTATTTAATGTATTATTTTTGCACCATATATGTTATGCTTTATATACAAACCCTGCAGACACTCTCCTTTTAGGTTCTCAAGGTTGACTGGAAGAGATCCCTTCAAGGGATAAGTCCGCCTGTGTACATTTTTGCTATTACCTAATATCTATACTATGAGTGAATTTACAAAAGCATATAAATCAAAAAGCAAGTTTTCAATTTGGTTGTATTTTTTTTTATGTTTGTCACCTTATAACTCCGTCAGTTGTGAACCGATATGGATTTTTTTTTATCTGAAAGGAGACTAGTTGTATAGAAATTTTACCAAAATCTGTTCGATAGTTTAGTTTTTAAATTCAAATAATAATATATGTAATAATAAGTCATTAAGAAGACTTCAAATGTGGCTGGATTATGCCAAAATTGAAGTCGCCTTTGAGGTTTAGTGCGACTGTTTTTGTTACAAAGCACCGCGCGTCCGCTTGATTAAAGGTTAAAAATAAAAATAGTATTGATGTAAAAAAACGCGGGAAACACGTTCCGCTTGATTGAAGTTTAGAAGAAAAAAGAAATAGTTACTGATTTACAAAAGCGCGGGAAACAGATATTAAGTTTTTTTTTTTACATAAAGGTTAAGACAAATAAGTTTTTATCACAATGACATAGATATGTAATCCTAGATTATATAGATAGAGTATCGAGTGTAAAAAAAAAAAGTGTCAACTTTTAGTCTAACGTCAAATTTGCTGATACATTTTTTAATCAAAACCAAAGATTAAGGAATTACATAGAAGGAATGATAAAATAAAAACTGTAAATCATATGGTCGCCTCCTATCTTCTTATGCAAATATAATTAGTAAAAAGACGACGAAAGATACACCATCAGTTGCTATTTTTGTCAATTAATAGCAGACTAGTGTATAGAAAATGTTTGATATGTCAATTATTTGGCAATGACAAATGTTATATTACTAGATTATATATTCGACACAGTTTATGTAGAAAGTATGCGAGCAGGTTTTATCTGAATTTGGTAGGGTTATACGGCCGTATAACATTTTCTGTACACTAGCCTGCTATGAATTGAGAAAAATAGCAACTGATGGTGTATCTTTCATTACACATCACCATCCTCTCCCCACCCTTATCCCAATTATTATTTGCGGTCGGCGTAATATGTTTTTTATCCATATTACAAAAAGATTTGGCTTATAGTTTTACGACCGGCCGCCTGCCTGCCCTCTTTAGGAATGCAAATTATTACACATGTATTAATTAAAATGGTGGCCATTTACTCCACGTAGTACCCTCCAGAATTCCTGGTGGTACATCATGAGGGCTAAATGTCTTTACATCCTCACCTATCATCTCTCACTGATGCCTCGCCAGTGTATACCGATAGCGCAGGCGGGGTTACCATTCCATTATAATCCATTAAAAAAACTATTCATGCACATACGGATGAAAAATTTTAACTGTTTTTAACGCAGCGTTTGTATGGAGACACTCTATCTATATAATATAAATATACAATCTGGATGCAGGTTTCGATATTTCACTATGGATTTTGTATGAGTCAAAAATATTATTTGATGCCCCAAATAATATCGTCACAGTCGTAGAATACTGACGGATTTACATATATCGTCATAGTCGTAGAATACTGACGGATTTACATATATCGTCATAGTCGTAGAATACTGACGGATCTACACATATCGTCATAGTGGTAGAATACTGACGGATCTTTATATGTAATCTTTGTCAGATCCGTCAGTATTCTACGACTATGACGATATAATTGTTTGGTTTGCAGGAGAATCGTTATTAAGTTGGTTTTTTTTAATCAAACACTGCATTGTGTGTACATATATATATTTATACAAATATATATATATATATATATATTTGTATAAAGTTTATAAATTTAACCAATTAGTTAATAATTAAATACTAAAATTAAGTAATGTACATGATTAATAGGAATAAATAAAAATACATGGAACGGTGTTTTATTTTTGGTTTTTTTTTTATACCACTGAGGTGGCAACCAAGCATACGGTCCACCTGATGGTAAGCGGTTACCGTAGCCTATGACCGCCTGCAATAGCAGAGGTATTACGCGCGCGTTGCCGACCCTGAAGAAACCTCTTTACCCCCTTTTGAAGAATCCCATGCTGTAGTCTCTTGGGAAAACCTGGGCAGGGAGCTCATTCCATAACCTGAGTGTTCGTGAGAGGAAACATCTCTGAAACAGCGTTGTACGCGACCATCTAGGCTGTACGGTATGAGGGTAAACTACCTGTTGATGGCGAGCCGTACGATGGTAGAAAGTGGCTGTGGGCATCATATTGAACAATTCCTCTGAGCACAATCCGTTGTACAGGCGATAGAACACGCAGAGTGAGGCAAAATCTCTCCTAAAACTTTTCAATTTTCGTTTTAGTTTTGTATTCTGTGGTTTAATGTAAAGAAAGATGTATGTATCATCAGGGCCGGAAGGGCCCGGGTAATCCGGGTACCACAAGTACGGGACCCGAGACTAGATGATGGTAGTCACACCAGTTAATAGCAGCACCGCAAGCCCCGCATACTAGACCCTGGTGGCAAATGCCACCTTGTGAAAGGGATTGTTAGCAATGGAATTTACAGCCCCATTGCTAGTAATATTCGCTATTAGGTCGACCTCCACGTGGTTCCCCCTGGAAACCATCGTGAATAATTCTTGGTGAATTCGTCACGATGGGCTAACTGACCTGCTTTATCCTCTTCTATCATCCTTCACTGGTGCTCCGCCGGTGTATACCGATAGCGCGGGTGGGGTTACCATTCCATTATCACCCATAAAAAAATGCCACTTCGTATTAATGGCCTGTCCGATGTTAGGTATGGGTTGGGTATATTGATATCAGCCGTTAACCCTTCTTTGCATAATGGTGGAAATTTCCATCATAACATTGAACGCCCAAAAATTATATAAAAGAACAAGTTCACTTTAACTTGATCGTGTCTGGATACCTTTTTAATGTCTATTGCAGAAAAAAAACATAGCTGTCAAATTTATTTTTTTAACCATTTTTCCTTTAATTTTGAACATGAATTATATCACCATGATTTATTTCACCAATAAAAAAAATCATGCAACGAAGGGTTAACTGTTGACTGCTGAACATAGGTTTCCCCCATAAGGGGGGTTTGACAGTAGTTGCCACGCCTGCGCACGCGAATTTTGACTTAACAATTTCATATCTTCAATTAGATAGATAGATAGATACTCTTTATTGTTGCCTCCAAAACATTACAATAGTAAACTTATTATAAATATAAACAATTACAAGAAATAATCACAGTGAGAAAACAATGGGCGGCCTTATCGCTAAGAGCGATCTCTTGCAAGCAACTTTTGGATGGTTTTAGGTGATTAAGTGATTATAAAGCGAGATGCACAAATATATTATCGATAAGTCTCCGTGCGGTTCCAGCATAGAATAGGCCACCTCTACCTTCCCCGTGGGTGTCGTAAGAGGCGACTAAGGGAGAGCGAGGGATGGACAGCAGCGTCCCTCATAAAACATCACCAAAGCCTAACTACGGTTGCTAATCCGTTGCTAATGTTCTAAATATTTTTTTTTTAATAGGTACTACTACCCTTGTTTAATATTTTTTTTTGATGGGTGAAAATGGTATGGCATCCCCGCCTGCGCTAACGGGATACGTTAGCGGAGCATCAGTGAAGGGTGATAGATGAGAATGAAAACAGGCCAGTTAGCCCATCATGATGAATTCATCAGGAATTAACCATGATGGTTTCCAGGGGGAACCGCGAGGAGGTCGACCTGGCTGGGTATATTGCTAGCAATGGGATTCTCAGTCTCCATTACTAACAATCCCTTCCCCCCCCCCCCCCTTAATATTATGTTACATGGAGTATATAATTTTTTTAAATATACGAGGGCTTTCCAACAGACTACAGCATGGGATTCTTCAAAAGGGGGTTAAAGAGATTTCTTCAGGGTCCGCAACGCGCGCGTAATACCTCTGGTATTGCAGGCGTTCATAGGCTACGGTAACCGCTTACTATCAGGTGGGCCGTCTGCTTGTTTGCCATTCTAAGTTGCATAAAGAAACGCATAGTTATAATTTTATTATAGTTAGGTAGACAGTTAATTATTAATTATTACATAATTATACATCCCTTACCGTTTCTCACAACTTCGACCGCATTAAAAACCCTTATTGAACAAAGCCATACACACTAAACGATTACTTGAATGACAAACGTGCATGGTGTTAGTCGATCATGCACGGGCTTCTAACGACCATGTAATTTTAGACATAGTACATTTAAATAAATACGCATAATGTTAACAGAGATTTAAAAGAGTAACTGTTGAGTTTCTCGCGGGCTCTTCTCAACAGATAACAACGTTCCGAAACCTGCATTTAAAAAAATGACGGTTTTAAAAATACTTGTAAAGAAGTCTATTCGAATAAAGAGTATTTGAATTTGAAACATATAAAAATACACCTATTTAAATATCCTCACAAACTCGTATTTGTGTCTAAAGTATAAGACATGTACCTTCGTACATGTCAAATAAAAAAAAAAATTAAAAATAAAACACGTTTTTGTAATAAACTTACACCTTTATTATCTACTTACAGGATTCAGTTTTTTTTTCTTCATCAAAAAAAGGCGATTTCTACAGCCCATCGAATTTTTACAATGTTCTTCAATTAACTAAATTGGATGTTACATTTATTCATTTATTTATATTTTTTTTTTCTAAAAAAATTACATCTAGGTCTTCATTAAAAAGGATGTTTATGGCCGATTGATTAGTTTTTTAAGTACATTTCATTATATGCAGTCTAAAGACAGTACAAAATAATTAGAAAACATCGATAGAAAATTTTGCAAAAATGTCTCGACGTCAGTTTTAGTTATAAAAAAAAAAATAGAAAAAAAAACAACTATTTCTTTTCTTACTATTTTCTATAAATAATAATCTAGTGATGTGTTTTTAATATTGCTTTTGAATTTCGCTTAACTTAATATTGCACCTAATTATTTTGTTTTACTAAAAAAAATATAGTTATTTATAGAAAGAAAAAAAAAAACAATTACTAAATACTTTATACTCCCTTATTCATAAAAACACGAGACTTCACACAACCTTATTTTAACTATTGAACTGTGTGGTCTCTTTCCTTTGTCTAAATTTCCAATTTGACAGTGACATAACAGAGTAATAGTTGAAATAGGTTTATATAAGTTTCTAGTCTTTATGAATTAAGGGGGTTATTGTTTATTTTTTACTAAAAAAATAAAAAATAATATTCTTACATTTATAAATGAGATAGTTTCCAAGATAAAAATACACATTATATTTTAATATTTATTTAAAATCTAAATAGCATTATCACTAACACTGTTATTGCTTAATATTAAATATTTCTACGTATTATTAATAATTAATAAATTCATTTATATGGATGCGATGGTAAATGGAACAAGTTAATAAAAATATAATTTAATTAAAGCGCACATGTAAAAATCAGAAAACTATAGTAAATATTTACTTTTTGTTGCAACAAAATTACTACGACTTTTTATTGTTTTTTTTTTCTTAATAAAAAATTCGTAATCAGAACGTTAAAAATAGTTTTTTTTTTTTTATTAGAAAAATGTATATATCGTCGAAGAGTTTCCCAATAGGCGGGCTGTATAACAAAACACATGGCATATGCCAAAGAAGGATATTTCTCTATTTTGTGCGGATGCATGTACTTACTGAAATAAGCTATAGCTATTTTGGGCGATATTGGGTAACTTGAAAGTTTTATAACATTTATTTATTGCATTTTGGGGCAATGGTTATTTTATTATGATTAACATTATTTACGGGAAGTTCTTTATACAAATATAGTATAAGTATGGTAAACAAAATATTGAAGTCTAGCCTTTTTAGGTATTCCCTGAAGCTCTACCATTACTATATGGGTATAGGCGCATTTAAGGGGGCCGGCTGGCTCGTGGCTAGGCTTGCCAGAAGCAAGTGAAATCCGGGATTGTCCTGAATCATCTTATAGTTTTTTTTTTTTTTTTTTTACAAAGGTATGAGCATAATTAATTTTACCAATCATAAATTATATTTGAAATAACATTTTTTCTCTTTAAAAAATAAAACATGTACAAACATAATTACAGTTTAAATAAATACATATTTATTTTCCTTTAAGAGTATTAATACTACTGCTCTACCCTTATTTCGTCACTTTAGAATTGTTCTGGAAATAATAAACCTGTATTTGGCAACTCTAGCTATAACCATGTTAATGTTCCCCTAAGAACAAGGAATTACATAGGAGGAATGATAAAATAAAAACTGTAAATCATATGGTTGCCTCTTTTCTTCTTATACAAATATAATTAGTAAAAAGGGGACGAAAGATACACCAACAGTTGTCATTTTTCTCAATTCATAGTAGGATAGTGTATAGAAAATGTTTGATATGTCAATTATTTGTCAATGACAAATTTTACATTGCTAGATTATATATTGGACACAGTTTATGTAGACAGTATGCGAGCAGGTTGTATATGAATTTGGTGGGGTTATACGGCCGTATAACATTTTCTAATACACTATCCCGCCATGAATTAACAATTTTATTATTCCTTCTATGTAATTACTTGTTCTTAGAAGTTCCAGATTTGTTCGGTGCTCATTCCTGGGATGAGCACCGAACAATGATGATACAAGCTTTTAGGTACGTGCATATATAAAAGAAGTAAATAGGTAATGAGGTCAGCCGTCCATTTTAAATACGCCAATAAGTAATATATAATAAATATATATATAGAAAAAGTATTATTTTTAATATCTCCAAAATTACCCCAAAACTCATCACAGAATCCAAAGCTTTATATAATTAAAAAAAACAAATATACATATAAAATAGCTCGGAAATTATGACAGTGTTTGACAATGAATTTTATATTTACAATTTATATTCTAAATATTACGTGCAATTCTAACTGACAATGCGACTATAGAAATAGTGGACGTGACAAAGTTTTAAACGATTATTTAAAAAAAAGGTAAAAAAAAACACTCAGAAAATAACTGATAGAAATCTTCCAAATACAGACAGCACACAGAGACATTTCACAGCATTGACGTGGATTCTAAACTACCATTTCTCTAACCTTTTAAGTTTATATTTTAAATTAATGATTTCGTAAAATTTATGTTTCATGGGCCGCCATAAACTAAAATTACACTAATTTTGACATAAATATACTAAAAAATAAGTTTATATTGGTCTTTACAAAATTTCGCTGTGATATCAAATTGTATTTTTGATTTTAGAGATAGGCAGAAAATGGCCTCTCAAAATTGGCGCCAATGTTGGATATGGAGGGAATGATTTATTTGTGCAAGAATAATAGTAATTGACGTCACGTCTAGACAACATTTTTGGCGCGTTTATAACGTTAAATACGTTACAATGGTCTCTTTTTTCATCATAATAACATTGGCTAGAAAACTGCTGTTAAATTTCTTATTAATATTTGCAAGTTTTTATAGGCCGCCATATTGCATTCTGTTATACAGTTTAAAGCAGGTACACTCCAACCATAGATTAAGAAAAGTATCTGTGGCATTCTGTATATACGACATTAACAAATAAAAGGCGCGAAATAATATAACTTACGCAATGTTTTTTGACAATTTGAAATTGTCGGAAAAGTAGCTAAAAATGAAAAATATATTTATTTAACTGTCGCTCATTGTCAGTTAAATATTGCAATTATAAGCGATACTATTAAATAATAGGTCGTCTGTATGTCTGTCACAACACATAAAGTCACCTAAGTTTGGTGTCAAGTCCATTTCGTTTTACGATAAAAAGCAGTTAAAAAATCCGAAAGTGTAACGTCGAAATTCCGGAATTACGTTTAAACTTCGAAGTGATGGCCATCTAATCAGGCGAGCGCGTTCATAATATATAAGGCGGTTAGAATGACGCAGTAGGCCAGTTGGTTTTTGGACGCGGCGGCGAACATTGGTGTTAATTCGTCAGCGTGGGCCGTGTGAGCGCCGCCTAGCGTGTGAAATTGGAAGATGTCGCTGACCTGCAAGGAAAATTTATATTTTAATTAAATAACCATAAATCAATTACCTCATTATGTTCAAAGTACCCTAATCATGATCTATTCCAAACTTACCCCTATCCACTGTCTTTGAAGAACCCTAACATTACTCTAACCTATTATTGCTAGCAATATACCCAACCACGTCGACCTCCACATGGTCCCCCTGGAAACCATCATGTTAAATTCCAAGTGCATTCATCACGACCTGCATTTTCGTTTTCACCTATCATCCTTCACTGGTGCCCTGCCAGCATACACCGATAACGCAGGCGGCGTTACCATTCCACTACCATTTATTAAAATAATATTGTTTAACGTAGCCCAAGTATTGTGCGTGTACCTCGTTCCAACCGTATCGGTTCTTGGCCTGCACGATGGCCTCGTAGACGGCGCCGGGCTGCAGCCCGCGCAGCTCGTGCGTGACGCGGTGCGTGAGCGAGCCGGCGGGCTCCGGCGCCGGGATCACCACGTCGTGCCACCGGCCCGGCTGCTGGAACGACTCGTTGATCTGCCAACACCATGCAGATGGGTAGCTATAGTTTTTTAATGATATTTAGAATGGCTAACAAGGTCCAGCTGATGGAAAGTGATAAACCTTGCCTTTAGGGGGGAAAGAGATTGTTAGCAATGGAGTTTGACAGCCCCATTGCTAGCAAAATGCCTTATTAGGTTGACCTTTACGTGGTCTCCCCTGGAAGCCATCGTGAACAATTCTTGTTGAATTCGTCACGATGGGCTAACTGACCTGCTTCATTCTCAACTATCATCCTTCACTGGTGGCTCGCCAGCATCTACCGTTAGTGCATAATAACATCATAAAATACACTGGTGCGTATGGTAACCCTCATGCGTTGTCAATCCTGAGGACTATGATATTCTATTTCTGTACCCTGTAATTTCATTGCTATATCTAACCCTTAAATACTTATGTGAATACAGCCACATTTTCTACCGTGAAGCAGTTGTGTTTGCATGGCTGTGTTTCGGTTTGAAGTGTGCGATATGGCAGTGAATTTACAGAGTACAGAGGAAAAACACCTGAGTCCTCAGGAATGGCAACGCGTGGGGGGTATCATGGGCGAAACAGTATACTCTGTTATGTCCATGGCACTGCTCATGTCTATAGGCGACGGTTACCACTTTCCATGAGGTGGGCCGTCAGCTTGTTTGCCATTCTAAGTTGTATAAAAAAAAAGAATCTATTCGTGACCCTCAACCATGGTTGAGGGTCACGAGGGTCACCCTCAACCGCTCATGAGCGGCTGTGACGTGCGCGCGAGCCTCGACCTGTGATGTGTGGTGGACGGCACTCACCGCCAGCTGCCGGTAGAGCAGGCGCAGCTCGTCGAGCGGCGGGTACGAGTCGACGGCGAACGCGAGCAGGTAGGAGGCGGCGCGGCGCGCCAGCGGCGGCGACGTGAACACGGCCGGCCCCGGCCGCCCCGACACCTCCACGTGCTGCCGCGCGCGGCCCAGGCTGTTGTCCGCCACGCAGCTGCAACACCACACATGCCGCTGTTGCACCACGACACTAGCACTGCTAGTAAGGTCACCAACTGTACTCATTCATTGGGTTTGTACTGTTTTTTCGCAAACCGTACTCTTTCCAAATCCTGTACTTTGAAAGTACTCATTTGTATTTCTAAAACATTTTTTTTTAATTATTATATTTCAAAGTTTTAATAGAAATTCCCTCATGTTGTCCACTAGGCACTAATGCTGCTGTTGAAAGGGTATTTCCACTAGGGAATGATTATTGGAGCAGTGAGAAGTCGCAACTCTCTGTAAAAACATCATCTGCTGTCTTAACAGTCAAGTTTAATATGCAAAATGAAAGTTGTTCGGATGTGGCTACATTATTAGACGAACATCCTCATTTAATAAAAAAAAACCAATCCGAAGAAAAAAATAAAGTTTTTATCGTTTTTTCTTCTTTTTTTTTACCTATCAAAAATTCTTGCAAAGTGTACTCTTTTTGAACAAAAAATAGTTGGTCACCTTACTACTAGTGTTGAGGTGCCGGGGGGGGAAGGGATTTAAGGAGCTTCGACCTTATCAGGTCGATCTTCACGCAGTTCCCCTGGAAACCATCGTGGTTAATTCTAATGGAATTCGTCACGATGGGCTAACTGGCCAGCTTTCATTATCACCTATCATCCTTCACTAGTACCCCGCCAGTGTATACCGAAAACGTAGGCGGGGTTACTATTCCATTATCACCCATTAAAAAAAAGTGTTGTGGTGTTGAGACGGTGACATTTGAAGACAGGCACTACATTATTATCTACCAGTACCAGATACGCTTGCTTCTTCTTTCTTTTCATTCTTTCATTTAATGATTTATACATTTGATCACGCTACAAAATATGAAGCCGAACCTAACGCTGAATGTACATTCTTTAAACGCATCTTTTAAATGGTTTCGACCAACTTATCTAAATCCTTAGCGCCAATAAGACTCCCACGAAACTAAGTAAAGATCTTAAAAGTGTTTCAGGATACTGTTGAAAGCAAATAAGTAGTAATGAAATCAGAGATTTCCCAATGATAGATATACAACTTACCACCAGATACCATCATTATCCTAATTAAGAGTCATACCAGCCGTTGACTGTCCACTGCTAAAGATAAGCTTCCCCCTGTAGGTGGAGTTTTGCCGGTAGTTGCCACACTTGGCAGGCGGGTTGTCAACCGTAGTTAGTCTTTGGTGATGTTTTAGAAGGACGCTGCTACCCATCCTTCGCCCTCCCTTAGTCGCCTCTTACGACACCCACGGGAAAGGAAGGGGTGACCTATTCTATGCCGGCTATCAAAGAAAGTCTATTTTCCGTTAAGTTTGGGTACGTCCTATGGTTTACCTGTAGTTACCGAAATCTTCTGGTTGCACGTTCGCTATCAGCAACGTATGGTTGTTACCACGCGCTGACATCGTGATGCGCTCTGAAGCGCTCAGTGGGAACGAGTTCTGGTACCATCCCACCTGGAGTGGAACGTTTAATTTGGATTAAACATATCGGGCCAAGTTTCATGGTTTCGGGGAAAGGGTGGATTAACGCTATCGTTTTTTTATGCAACTTAGTATGGCAAACAAGCTGACGTCCCACCTAATGGAAAGTGGTAACCGTCGCCTGTAGACATGAGCAGTACCATGGACATAACAGAGTATACTGTTTCGCCCATAATACCCCCCATGCGTTGCCATTCTTGGTACTTAGGTGTTATTCCTCTGTACCCTGTAAATTCACGCCATATCCCACCCTTCAAACCAAAACACAGCTATGCAAACACAACTGTTTCACAGTAGAAACACGAATGCGACAGAGGTGTCCAAGCAAACGACTTTTGTACAGTCTCCTTATGGTAATTTAGGTAAACTATGATAATTTGTCTGAGTTATCTGGACGTTTCGACCAGACTTCGACCGTGGTCGCGAGTGGACTGATGGTCGGGATAAAAAAAAATCTGTGTCCTTTTCTATACAGTTTTATTATTGTATGGATATTAGCGAACTAACCTCAGCAGGAGGGTCGGCGTGCACTGTACATAGTAGCTCAGCTCTGAACCCTTCCCCAGTATGCACCCACGACCGTTCCACAGTTATTTCTGGTGGATCTGAAAGTGATAGTTGAAAATATATGTAGTAATATATGGTGAACATGTTGACGGCCCACCTGATGGTAAGTGGTAACCATCGCCTATAGACATGATCAGCGATATAGGTATTATAGTGATGGTACTGCTCACGCGTTGCCATTCCTGAGGACTATGGCGTTATACCACCGTTACCCTATAATTTCACTGCCATATTCCACTCTTAAAATTAGAACACTGCCTTCCCTGTAAACCATCGTGCTCAATTCCTGGTGTATTCATCACGATGAGCTAACTGACGTGCTCTTTCATTCTCACCTATCATCCCTCACTGATGCTTCATCAGCATATACTGTAAGCGCAGGCGAGGTTACAATTCCATTATCATCCATTAAAAAAAATATTATAGGGTTAGTGAAACCTACTGAACTCTCGTTTTGGAACTTTCTATTGTCCGTAAGTTTTTTTTTATACAACAAGAATGGCAAACAAGCTGACGGCCCACCTGATGGAAAGTGCTAACCATCGCCTATAGACATGAGCAGTACTATGGACATAACAGAGTATACTGTTTCACCCATGATACCACCCATGCGTTGCCATTCCTGAGGACTCAGGTGTTATTCCTCTGTACCCTGTAAATTCACTGTCATATCGCACCCTTCAAACCGAAACACAGCCATGCAAACACAACTGCTTCACGGTTGAAACACGAATGGAACTTACATAGTGCTTGTACAAGTGGTTGGAACATGATTAATCGTTAGTCAGTGAGATTTGTAGTTGGAACTACAAAATTATTAGAAGAAAGAGGTGGGGCTCAAACAATATTTACAAGTGGATCTTTGTGACTATAATTAGAGTCAGTTGGAACTGTGGGATTAGTAGTACAGTCAATGGCATTTACATTGTATTTGTAGTTGGAACTGTATGACTATTGGTTAATCAATAGGACTTGTGGTTGGAGCTATGTTTTATTCATTACTGACTGTTAATAGTCACACGACTTACATAATACGAGGTTTGTCCGGAAAGTACGTATAAAAGTTTTTTAAAAATTTTATTTTACAATTATTCAGGTAAATCAATTTTATCCCCTTCAAAGTACTCCCCCTGTGACATAATGCACTTGTGCCAACGCCGTTTCCACTGTGAGAAGGCTCCTTGAAAGTCCTCTGGTTGTAGGTTTCTCAGCTGCCCCGTCGTAGCTTTTTTTATCTCATTTATGTCCCCCAAATGCCGCCCCCGAAGTACCAATTTGGTTTTTGGGAACAAGAAGAAGTCACACGGGGCCAAATCCGGCGAATAGGGGGGTGTTCGGTCACCGTAATGGAATTTTTACTCAAAAACTCACGGACAACAAGAGAGGTGTGGGCAGGGGCATTGTCGTGGTGAAGAATCCAACGCCCCTCTCGCGCCAATTCTGGACGAACTCGTGCCACACGAGCTTTGAGGCGTCTGAGCACATCGACGTAGAATTTTCCATCAACTGTCTGGCCTGGAGGGACGAATTCTTGATGGACAATCCCCCGAACATCGAAAAAAACAATCAACATTGTCTTGACATTTGAGCGGGATTTTCTTGATTTTTTTGTTCGTGGTTCCCCGGATGTCTTATCGAATTAGATCGGCAAAAATTTCACGGCCATTCTTGCCGAGTTTCGAGAGAAACTTGATTACGACGCGCTGCTCTTCAACGGAAGCGGGCTCCATGCCGACGGGGTTTCGTTAAGAGGTAACTTCACAGATGGCGTGACAAGCCAGTTCGCACCGCACGGCGGTCAGACCAGAACTGAAGCATTGTTAGGGACATAAGGAAGGGGTCCTGCGCTTACCTGGCCTCCCCACTCCTCTTTCTCGCATTCCAGAACACTTTTATACGAACTTTCCGGACAGACCTCGTACCGATAGTTGAAACTTTGTGACTATAATTAGTGTAAGTGAGACTTGTAGTTGGAACTATGTGACTATTGGTGGGATCAGTGGGACTTGTAGTTGGAACTATGTGACTATTGGCGGGATCAGTGGGACTTGTAGTTGGAACTATGTGATTATTGGTGGGATCAGTGGGACTTGTAGTTGGAACTATGTGATTATTGGTGGGATCAGTGGGACTTGTAGTTGGAACTATGTGACTATTGGCAGGATCAGTGGGACTTGTAGTTGGAACTATGTGACTATTGGCGGGATCAGTGGAACTTGTAGTTGAAACTATGCGACTATTGGCGGGATCAGTGGGACTTATAGTTGGAACTATGTGACTATTGGTGGGATCAGTGGGAGTTGTAGTTGGAACTATGTGACTATTGGTGGGATCAGTGGGACTTGTAGTTGGAACTATGTGACTATTGGTGGGATCAGTGGGACTTGTAGTTGGAACTATGTGACTATTGGTAGGATCAGTGGGAGTTGTAGTTGGAACTATGTGACTATTGGTGGGATCAGTGGGACTTGTAGTTGGAACTATGTGACTATTGGTGGGATCAGTGGGAGCTGTAGTTGGAACTATGTGACTATTGGCGGGATCAGTGGGACTTGTAGTTGGAACTATGTGCCTATTGGCGGGATCAGTGGGACTTGTAGTTGGAACTATGTGACTATTGCTAGTGTCAGTGGCACTTACATAGTACTTGCAGTTGGAACTCTGTGACTATTGGGGGTCCGACGCCATTGTCGACGGTGCACGCGTACCGTCCGCTATGGTGGCGCTCCAGTCGGGACAGCTGCAGCTGAGGCCCTTCGCCCAGCCGTGTGTTTGTATCATTCTGGAAATACAAAACGGTTTTAGTAAATTATTAACTTTTTTTTTTTTTTAGTGACCTACCACGGTTTTGCACTAGATAGGTAGGTAGTTTAGATTATATAGATAGAGTGTCTACATACAAATGCTTCGAGAAAACCAGGTCAACTTTTTCATACAATTTTACGTGATAAATAGTTATGAGTGATTCCTTTATAACTTCTATATTTATTTTGTCTTATAATTTCCGCATCTTTTTAATGTGTAAACACTCATTTTATTTATAAAATAATACGTCAAGATACACTGTGTGCGTAAGTATATAGAACACTGATAAAAAGACGAGTCAGCTAATTTGACAATTAGCTGACAAACAGTCGACCCGTTTTTGAAACTCGATGCTCTATCCATATAATCTAAGATAGGTAGATTTTTTTAATAACATATTGCCCATGTTGATGTTTTGTAGTTGATTAAGTGAAATAAATTTTAAAATCAGATAAATTTTTTATGCTTATCCATCACAAACAGACGATCAGATCTTTACTCTTTATAATATTGTTTTGGATGTAAAATTGTTTGTTAAAAATCTGGCAATACTAAAAATATATTCCGTGTAATAAATAATTCGTACTTCCACTTCCTTTTCCGTGGGTGTCGTAATAGGCAACTAAAGGAGCTCAGTCGTAGAACGATAGGTCTTTTTCTTATACAACTTAGAATGGCAAACAAGCTGACGGACCACCTGATGGAAAGTGGTAACCGTCGCCTATAGACATGAGCAGTACCATGGATATAACAGAGTATACTGTTTCGCCCATGATACCCCCCATGCGTTGCCATTCCTGAGGACTCAGGTGTTATTCCTCTGTACCCTGTAAATTCACGCCATATCCCACCCTTCAAACCGAAACACAGCCATGCAAACACAACTGCTTCATGGTAGAAACACGAATGGGACAGAGGTAACCAAGCAATCGACTTTTGTACAAAGTCTCCCTCTGGTACATTTATTATAATTTTGTATGTCAGGTGGTGAAATATCGTCGTATAGTTTATTAACTCTATATGCCATAGAACTCAGTGCTTATCGAAATCATGTATAATCACACATAACCTAGCTGTAAGATTCCGGGATAGAATGAACCCATTACTTTCCCATGGGCGTCATAAACTAGGGGAACTTAATGGTCGAGGTTTGGGCAGCAGTGATCCTTTTAAAACATCATCAAAGCCTAACTGCGGTTGCTAAATCGTTTGCCAAGCATGGTAACTGGCAGAACCCTTTAAGCGAAAGCCTCATGTTCCGCAGTGAACATTTAACAGCTGATATGATGACGATTGAAAAGAATGTCAAAAGTTTGCTCAATTTAAAGATATACTAGGTAAAGATTGTTTGCAGAAGAGAAGTTAGATGGCAGGACAATAAACTATATGCCTGCAGCTCAGAACTAGACCATCTTCTTACCCTTATCCCAATAATTTGGGGTCGGCGTAATATGATTTTGTCCATATTACGCTCGGAACTAGACCATCTGAACTGAATTCTTTGTGGCATCTATTAAACCCTGTAGTGAACAGCTGCTTTGGTAGAGAGCACGAGGCAGTGTGTCAAGATTTGTGTTTCACCAAAGATACTGTTCAAAGATAATCCCACGGAGTATCCCTAGCTGCGCGGATTTACTTTGCTGCGGCCGATCAGATTTCAAAATTAAGCGTCCATACTGGCTATGGCACAGATGAAAAACTCTCAGATCGTGGAGCAACTCTTGGATAAAAGGCCGAAAAGCACTAAGGTGGCTCAACTTTTGGAGGCACGCTAAAAGATACGGCAGCAGTGACCAGCAGTGCCAGCGAATTTGTGCTATGCCTAAGTGAGATCGTGAAGAACGAACGCGGCAGGGGTGCGTCTATTATATAATTTTGGAGGCAGCTTACCAGTTCTGGCCAATTGGTTGGCACCGGTAGCTTCTTATCATGGGAGACATGTAAAGAAATAATTTAAAGCATTAACTTATCAACAAAAACATATGGTTACAAATATATTTCCTAAGCGGACAGTCGGTTTCTTCTGTCGACTTGCTGTTGTGGTGAACGTAACACCTGATATTCTCACCATAGCTTCACAATATACGCGAACATTTTGTATATACGCAGGAATCTTCAACAGAGGGAGACTTTGTACGAAAGTCGTTTGCTTGGGCATCTCTGTTCCATTCGTGTTTCAACCGTGAAGCAATTGTGTTTGCATGGCTGTGTTTCGGTTTGAAGGGTGGGATATGACAATGAATTTACAGGGTACAGAGGAATAACATCTGAGTCCTCAGGAATGGTAACGCATGGGGGTATCATGGGCGAAATAGTATACTCTGTTACGTCCACGGTACTGCTCATGTCTATAGGTGACGGTTACCACTTTCCATCAGGTGGGCCCGTCAACTTGTTTGCCATTCTAAATTGTATAAAAAAAAAGTTTATTGAAAACAGCGATCTTAATAATCTTAACACTAGATACAAATACAAACTTGCTGTTCCGAAGCATCGTTTAGAAAAAGTTAATAGATCATTTAATGCTCAGTCTCATAATGGGCGTTGAATGTTATAACAAGTAAACGTTATAACTGAAGGATATTTTGGGTCTACTTTGTAATAAGTTTAAAAATGTTATTAAAAACACTCGTTGAACAAAGCCTATTACACACTAAACGATTACTTGAAAGACAAACGTGCATGGTGTTAGTCGTTCATGCGCGGGCTTCCAACGACAATGTAATTTTAGACATAGTACATTTAAATAAATACACATAACGTTAACAGAGATTTAAAAGAGTAACTGTTGAGTCTCTCGCGGGCTCTTCTCAACAGATAACAACCTGGCGAACCCTGCAGTGTATTAAAAACAAACCGACTATTTAAAAGTGCTTGTAAACCATTTTGAATACAGATCACTTGAATTTGACATGCGCATATTGCGACGAGAATAGTTGTCACGCAAGCCGGATTGGCAACGACTGTTAAGTTTTTAGAGATGTTTTAAGAGGGACGCTGCTGCCAGTACCTCCACTGTTAAGTTCCCTTAGCCTCTTACGACACCCACGGAAAAGAAAGGGTGGGCTATTCTATGCCGGGACCAAAAGATAAAAAAGAAACATATATAAGAGACTAATAAAACCAATAGAAGCAAAAAAACAATATTTCTTTTAGAAATTTTGTTCGTCTGTTTACGTGCATATTTGTTCCTATATCACGCAGAAACTATTGTACCAGATTGGATGCGGTTTTACAGTTGTTGTTCTGAAGGTTTAACTTAAAATCTGGTATTTGTTTCATCTCAATACGCCATCTAGGAGTGGTTTAAAACCACTGGTTTTTATATGAGAAAGAGACGTTATATATTTCTGCATCCTGCTTTTTACCCGGGTCAGTAGACATATGTATAAAAGCTAGTAAGAAATATTCTGAGCTTTCAATAGTAAAAAAGAATACTTTAAACAAATTCAAAATTAATATAATACGAGTAAAGAAGTAAAATTTGATTTTTTGTTTGTAATAGATCGAAACAAAACCAGAGGAAGACTTTGTATTAAAGTCGTTTGCTTGACCACCTCTGTCCCATTCGTGTTTCCACCGTGAAGCAGTTGTGTTTGCATGGCTGTGTTTCGGTTTGAAGGGTGCGATATGGCAGTGAATTTACAGGGTACAGAGGAATAACACCTGAGTCCTCAGGAATGGCAACGCATGGGGGGTATCATGGGCGAAACAGTATACTCTGTTATGTTCATATGTACGTATACAATGCACATGTATATAGGCTGATAGGGTGCTATATATTGCTAGCAATGGGACTGGAAGTCCACATTACTAACAATCTTGATCCCAACCGTTTGCCATCAGGCAGGACATCAGTTTGCATGTCACTCTAAGTTGAATATAAAAGCTGTGGGTATCTCTCACCAGTTTATGCCACGTGACGGTGGGGACAGGGTTCCCAGATGCTCTGCACTCGAGCACAGCCGCTCCGCCGCGCCTCGCGGCCGCATGCTTGGACTCTGGGGAGGCTCGCACGCTCGGAGGCACCAGCACCTCCACCGTATGGACCTGATCACGGGATATACGGTCCGAGATCTGGCAGACGTAGTCTCCTGCATCCTGGAAGGTGGAAAGCAGAATTGAATGATGGATACCCGAGGGAGACTTTGTACAGAAGTCGTTTGCTTGGACATTTCTGTCCTATTCGTGTTTCTACCGTGAAGCAATTGTGTTTGCATGGCTGTGTTTCGGTTTGAAGGGTGGGATATGGCAGTGAATTTACAGGGTACAGAGGATTAACACCTGAGTCCTCTGGAATGGCAACGCGTGGGGGGTATCATGGGCGAAACAGCATACTCTTTTATGTTCATAGTACTGCTCATGTCTATAGGCGACTGTTACCACTTCCTATTACTTATCGCTAAGAGCGATCTCTTGCAGGCAAACTATGGATGGAGAAGAGTAATTAAGTAATAAACAGTTTGACTGGAGGCACGAAATTCTGTTTATATTTATTCTATTTAAAATTTATAAATGATCGTGTACTACGTCCTTCTGTAAGTTTGTTCGTAACAAATATTAAATATTACAAAAACTACATCAGACAATAATACTAAATACGCAATTTGTTGTCGGGGAAATGCTAAACAATGTCTTAAAAGGTAATTGGCGGTGGAAAATATGATAATTGAGACATAAAAACGGTTTGGGTGGCGTATCATTATTTTTTATGGCGCCGCGCGGGCAGGTGATTCGGTTTGTGGGTATTTTCACTTCAATATACACAGGGAGATGCATTTAAAAGCTATTACAGCGTTACAAGTTGAATTTTAAACTGACTTTTTTATATATTTTATTTATTTAAACTTTAATGCACAGTAAAATTCTATGTACATATAAATACATAGGCGTTGCATTACGTGCGCGTTTGCCTACCCTGAAGAAGCCTTTTTATTCCTTTTTTTCTAAGAACCCCACGCTGTAATTTCTTGGAAAAACCTCAACAGGGAGCTCATTCTATAACCTGAGCGTTCGTGTGAGGAAACATCTCTGAAATCGCGCTGTACGCGACCATCTAGGCTCTAAGATATGGGAGTGAATCCCTTGTCGATGACAAGCTGTACGATGGTAGCAAATGGTAGTTTCTTATGATCCACCGAATAAAATGCGTTTTATTTATTTATAATTTATTGTACACAAAAAAAACATACATACATATAATATATATTAAATAAAGATGTACAACAGGCGAGCTTAATTCTGTAAGAGTTCTCTTCCAGCAAACCCTGAGTGGAAAGGAGCATTAATTACCTAGTTTTAATGAAATTTTAAGAACTAATGAACACTGAATCGAGTCAATCTATTGATTAATCTTTTACTCGAGTCATTATTGGATCATTAAGGTGTTTGATTAGTTGGTCATTAAATAAGATAGGTCATGATTCAGAGCTCGGTCAGGTCTGATCAATGATTTCATTAAGAGATAACGTTAAATTTTTAAAATGGAATCGCAAATATTTTATGATTACAAAACTGGGATATAGTGGAACGAAACTTTATTCAACTTAGAAGGCATCCTAGAGTTATGAAATTATTTATTTATTTATTTCTTATTGCATTCCATAATATAATTAGTAGATAACATTTCAATTATGGACCCTGTTGGGCACAGCGAGTAGGAGAGAGGAGGCCAACACTTCTTTCACTTTAGAAATAGTCTAAGGATCTGTTACAATATTATGCAGTCATTGAAATTGTATCACGATAAGTACGTATTTTCTTATTAATCAATGTATGTTTAGAAGAGTCCATGATCACCTTATGACCTCATTACAACGATAGTAGTTAGTCAATATCAATTTTTTTTATACAACTTAGAATGGCAAACAAGCTGACGGCCCACCTGATGGATAGAGGTAACCGTCGCCTATAGACATGAGCAGTATCGTGGACATAACAGAGTATACTGTTTCGCCCATGATACCCGCCATGCGTTGCCATTCTTGAGGACTCAGGGGTTATTCCTCTGTACCCAGTGTCACGCTATATCCCACCCTTCAAACCGAATCACAGCCATGCAAACACGACTGCTTCACGGTTGAAACACGAATGGGAGAGAGGTGTCCAAGCAAACAAGTTTTGTACAAAGTCTTTCTCTGGTAAAATAAATCTTTTATATCTACATATATATTAATACATCGCTTGGCTGTGTTTCGGTTTGAAGGGTGGGATTAGGCGGTGAATTTACAGGGTACAGAGAAATATCACCTGAGTCCTCAGGAATGGCAACGCATGGGGGGTATCATGGGCGACACAGTATACTCTGTTATTTTCATGGTACTGCTCATGTCTATAGGCCACGGTTACCACTTTCCATCAGGTGGGTTCCACGTTCCATCACAATAACTCTGTTTTTATATAACAATCTTATATATAAAATTTTCGTGTCACGGTGTTTGTTACCAAACTCCTCCAAAATGGCTTTACCGATTTTCATGAAATTTTGTGTGCATATTCGGTAGTCTGAGAATCGGCCAATATCTATTTTTCCTACCCCTCAATGATAAGGGTGACCTACAACTAAATATATTTTTTTATTTTTTTGACAAAATTTTTATTTTTATTTTATTATGATTTAGCATTTAAAAATACATACAAATCCAAATTTCCAAGCTTTAACAATTAACCCCTGTTTTTTAATCGAGATTTTTATATTCCGCAATAGGCTTGCAAGATGGCAATCGAATACAATAATTGTAGTACGATAAATTTTCATGTATAGTTCTAGAAATAATGTATATGGTAAAACAACGTTTAGTTGACTAGCTAGTGTTTTTATAAAATGTTTGTTACAAAAAAATATTTTTCAAAAGTGTCCGCGGAAAATACCATATTTCGTCCAAATGTCCGGATTGCTATATGTTGGCATATTTATCCGATGCCGGCAATTTAGATGATGGCAGCACTAGTTATAAAAGATACCGCGTGGAGGTTGAGACCATAGCACCTCTATGCAGTTTGTGGTCGAGACTTGCCCATTGTTTACAGTCCATTGGGCGAGTCTGTTCACGGCTATCCAGTTAGGGCAGTGATAGGGGCTTGTTAAGTCGTGACTTGTCCCGTTTCACGATTCATTTAACGTGTTGAGGTTAGAAGATTTGGGATCACTGGTAATTCGTATTTATTTTGTTGACCTGACAACCCGGAAAAAACTTTTTTTTAAAGTATCTATTAAAAAGGGATATACGTATTATCTTATCTTTAAGATATATAGATATTTTCTATAGATATACATATAAAAGATACAAAATTCTACCAATGATGCTTGAATACATTGATACATTACCTAAACTTTCGGATAAATAAAAAAAAAACAAAAAAAAAACAATTAATATATCAGAATAATCTGCACGCCTTCGCCTTTTGCCTTACCTAACCTATAAAGAAAATTAAACGGCGTGTTTAATTTATTTGGCGGGAAAGCGGGAAAAAAAAAGAATAACGACATAACGCCGGAGAATCGTATCTGCGTATTTAAAAATTGTCCAATAAATTGTGGCGCTATTTGATGAAAGTGTAATTTGCGAGTAATTGAATGTTAATGCACGCAAAAAAAGGCTGGAATGCATAATAGCTTCTGACAAGTGCCGCCTTTCCATTGCTAACGCCAACTCGCCCCCACTTTGGACAATAAAAGAGAAATTTGAAATAAATTTAATACACAATCGTGAATCATGGACGGAAAACCTTGAGTTATGGCATAACACTTTAATCTTCAGGAATGGCAACGCATGGGAGGTATTATGGGCGAAACAGTATACTCTGTTATGTCCGTGGTACTGCTCATGTCTATAGGCGACGGTTACCACTTTCCATCAGGTGGGCCGTCAGCTTGTTTGCCATTCTAAGTTGTATAAAACAATTGCTATTTCTCATTCGACTTCGTGATTTGCATTTTAAAATTAAAAAGACAACAAGAAATAAATCTAATTTATTAAATAAATATTATTTTTATGGGTCACCTTTTTCTTTCCCGTGGGTGTCGTAAGAGGCGACTAAGGGAACTTAATAGTCGAGGAATAGGCAGCAGCATTTCTCCCAAATTATCACCAAAGCCTAATTGCTGTTGCCAACCTGCCTACCAGGTAGGACAACTACTGGCAACCCCCCTCCCCCCTTCTTAACTGTCCACTGCTGAATATAGATCTCCTATTACATATTGGGAGGTTTTGACAGTAGTTGCCACGCTTGGTAAGCAGGTTAGCAATCGCAATACTTTGGTGATGTTTTAAAAGAAACACTGCTAGCCATCTTTCGATCAGTTCCTTTAGTCGCCTCTTACGAACATAGGAAAGGAAGGCCCATTCTACCATATACCATAGATAATTCGAGTATAATATTACTAGCTTCTGCCCGTGAATTTGTTCGTTCCCATACAAATTTTCATTCCCTATTTTAACGCTTTAGGGGTGCAGTCTTCGAACATTAATTTTCGTTTTGAACCAAGAGCCAAAATTTAAAAAAATTCACGAGTCTAGACTTCTGAAATGACGAAATTCCGTACAAACTTTCAATCCTTGTTTTACCCTTATAAAGGATTTTGGATTTTCAAAATCCCATTCTTATTGTTTACTTCCGCTATTCAAAGAACCTGTCTGCAAAATTTCCAGATTCTAGATTCAGAGGTTTCGGCTGTGCATTGATATATGGGTAAGTCGGTCAGTTCAGCCAATCAGCATCCTTTCTTATATAAATAGATGCTTTAATGGATGATAATGGAATAGTAACTCCGCCTGCGCTAACGGTATACACTGGCGGGGCACCAGTGAGGGATAATAGGTGAGAATGAAAAGAAGGAAGTGATGAATACACCTGGATTTCAGCATGATAATTGTTATGAGAGATCGTGGGGAGGTTTGGCTGATAGGGTATATTGCTAACAATTGGACTGGTAGTTCTGATTACTGATAATCCCCAAAATATAAAGATACTAGTGGTGACACTTACCTGTGGACCGACATCCGTGATTTGCAAGTTGTACCCGTCGACCAGCCGGAACCTCTCGTCCCTGGTGACCATTAGGCTTGCCGCTGTTAGCACAGCCGGCCCCCGCCTCCAGAGGAGAACCAGCGATCCTGCAAGCCGCAATATGGAGTTAGAGCTATTGTTAGTCGCCTTGTGGGCACTGCAGGTCTAAAGGGGGACGGTAAGAGATCCAGAAAAAAAATGGGGTCGTTGTGTAGAAGCTCGTTTAGAATTAATGTTTAATCTCCGCTTATTGATAAATTAAATTTTAAATAATAGTGGTTTTTAAATAGGTGAAAAAATTGGGGGCGCTAAAAAATAATTTATTCTCAAAGCGGGCAGTAGACATAATAAGTTTGGGAACCCCTGAGTTAGAATAAAGGAATAAGGGCTTTAGTGGGCTACATACTCGAGCGATGTCTGAGGACGCTGAGACCTTATAAATGATATCATCACCATTATGTCAGCCGTTAATTGATCGCTGCTGAACATAGGCCTTCCATAGGAGTGTTTTTCTAGTAGTAGGTACAGTTGGCACTCGCAGTTAAGCTTTGGTAACAGTTAGGCAAAAGCGACGCTGCTACCTATCCCTCGACCTTTAAATGTGGGCAGTAGAAAAAAAATGTTCCTATTTATTTTTTATACAACTTAGAATGGCAAACAAGCTGACAGCCCACCTGTTGGAAAGTGGTATAATGTGTATATGTAAAGTTAAAGTGTATTTAACTTAATACAGTAAAAGAACTCACCCAAATTCTGGACTTGACACGGCAGCAGCAGCGTGTCCCCGACCACTGCCCTGTACGAGTGGCCGCGCGAGAGGAACCGCGGGCCGTCATCTGTAACCGATACTGAAGAATATCAATGCCATCATTCTTTGTTCCATAAAATAGAATAACATTTTTTTTTTGATAGACTGCTGTTTTTGGAATACAATTTAATACTAATTTATTTGGCTCTCTCGTATTTTTCAAATATTTTTGTACAGCAGCGGTGAATTAGCTGAAATACTTTTTGACAAATACACCTGTCTCTTAATTATGTACATGGCAAGTATGCATGTAAGCATGTAGGGTAAACAGTGGCAGAATTATCCGCAGGCTGAGTAGTCTAAAGCCTTGAACGGCAGATTTGAGGGATATATAAATTCGGGACCGAAATTTTATGATTACAGTCACAAAGTATCAATTTCATTGACAAATTGTCTATGGCAGGGTTTCGTTCCGTTTCCATCTATTAAAAAAACAACACCATTGTAGAAAATATTCCATTTTCGAATTCATTCCCCATTAAAACGGAACGGTCGGTGTACAAAATGAGGTAACTGAAAACAGGAAACCACTTTTCCCGCTTCCGTCTCGCCGCCATTTGCTGGCGTAGTGTTTACAAGATGGCCGTCAATTCGGCAGTTTTGGTGCGGTTATTTATTTGTTTTGACAAGTTTGCTTGGATCGTTGTTGTTATAGGAGAAATTGATGCGTCGATAATGTCGTGACTTAGCTGTTTAATATTTCTGTAAACTTCACTATCGTATTTTATATTATTGTAAACATTTCATTGGATAAACAATGGGGCTAAATTCTGAGGTGCTTTTTCTTTATACTAGATTCCAGAGAATGGTTGTGTGTGTGGAAGAAAGTGTCTTGAAAAACGCATGATGGAGGACTGCCACTTATCCAGATGGTTGGGATGGAACTTTAGTTTGTGATCAGAGGGCCTACCATGAAATGTTTTCCAAAGTTTCGGAGCCTAATTTAATATTAAAATTTCATAATGCCGCTTGGAATAATTAAAAATGTTAAAATATCGTTCCTTTGGACTTTTATGATAGGATGTATGACGAACGAAATGTTAAACTCCATTTATTGATTCGATTTTGGTATAAACAAAAACACGAAATTGAGTTCGAAAATTCGGAATTTCATTTCATGGTAGACCCGCTGATTGCGTCCCCATGTTTTTATACATTCAAACTCAAACTATATACTTTCCACTATTACCTTTGCTTGCTATTGACACAATAAAAAAAAAGTGACTTACTCCTGTTGTTTTGCGCGCGTGCCGCGATGAGTACGGCGGCCAGTACCAGCCAGCCCCCCTCCATGTCTACTAGCCCCCCAGGCACGCCTGCGCTTCACACTGTCTCATCTGTCAACAATATTACATACATTTAATATTTCAAGTTGGCATGAGTTATATGGTTACCGGATGGGGGGGGGGGATTATTAGTTATGCGAATTATCAGTCCCATTGCTAGCAATATACCCTGTCAAGTCGACCTCCACGTGGTCCCCCCTGGAAACCATCGTGCCGAATTCCAGGTGTATTTATCACGATGGGCTAACTGACCTATCTCTTTATCCTCATCTATCATCCCTCACTGGTGCCCCGTCAGCGTATACCGATAGCGCAGGCGGGGTTACCATTCCATTATCAACCATAAAAATAATATGGACACCGATCCGATATTTAGATATTGGGTTCATCCAAACCTTATATTTTATAACTGAAATATGTATATAGATGTTAAATCTGAAATATATATATATATATATATATTGCTATATATTATTTAAATCCTCACAGATCCACACAGATGGCGCCACCGAGTGGTGAAAATTGACTGTGATAGATACACATTTAAACCTATTAAGTCTTCAGCTTCGTTTACTCAATTGATTGCCCCCATTCTATCCGTCCGTATGTGTTGAACAGATGTACTAAAGCACTCGAAACCCCGACTTGAACAACTGTTCTGGATCGAAGTAGCAGCCAAACTTATATGAACACAAATAATATGGTCTATTTACATAGAATTTGATACAAATGTAAACAAACCAATAATTGTCCGACCACAAGATAGTCCGCTGACGTCCAGTAGTACAGTAGAATCTCGATTATCCGGTTATTCGATTATCCGGATATTCGATTATTCGGACTTTTTTTTATGGGTGAAAACGGTATGGTAAACCCGCCTGCGCTAACGGGATACGCTGGCGGAGCACCAGTGAAGAGTGGTAGATGAGAATGAAAACAGGCCAGTTAGCTCATCATGATGAATTCATCAGGAATTAACCATGATAGTTTCCAGGGGGAACCGCGAGGAGGTAGACCTGGTTGGGTATATTGCTAGCAATGGGAATCTCAGTCTCCATTACTAACAATCCCTTTCCCCCCAAGATTATTCGGACCTATTCTTCATAACTCTAATTACCGATTTAGAAATGGTATTTATTTATTTATAAAAGACACACCGACAATACGCTCACAACAATCAAGCAGACAATATACAATGTTATAAGTAAGTAAAAGTGATAAACTACTATTAAAAAATGCTTAAATCTAAGTTTACTTGAACAAAAGAATAGAATAGAATAGAAATCATTTATTCAAATAAACTTACATTGAAGCACTTTTGAAAAGTCATTACATTTTTTTTAATTTACCGCTCGTTCGGAAAGCTGTCTCATCACAAGAAGAACGAGCAAGAAACTTGCGTGATGCTCTTTTAAATAATTTTATTATTATTTTACATTTTTAAGTTTAATTGTGTGAATACAAACCACCAATTAGCACTAATTCAATTAAATACTCAAAAAGAAAAAAAAAAAATTGAATACATAACCAACTGGTTAAACAATTAATAAGAGGAAATCAGTCATAGTGATTAGAGCAGACCAGTCCCTACAAGCAGCACCCGTTCACGAGTATGACGGATGAGCCAGCCATCACTGCGCTCGACCATATTTTAGGGAGCCCAATGACCCGGCCCACCACGCCGCCACAAGTCTGGACATTTTAGTGAGCATGACTACTCAAAACACTAGACCACGTCAAAGCTACTCACAATTGCCATCTGATAGTTATAGTATTCACATTTTACATAAGAATGCATGCGGCAATTAATACAAAAAACCGCTACGCTTTCATATTTCTAAAATTAATCAATTAAATCAAGAAAGCAATGAGAAAATAAAATTATAACGTTGTATGCTAATAAACTAATTATTTACTTGATATGTTGTCATCTATGAATTCGTCTATCCTGTAATAGGCTTTCTTACATAAAAATTGTTTAATATAAGATTTGAATTGCCTCTCTGTCAGATTTAATGCAGATTCCGGCAGTTTATTATACTAAAAACATCTCATTCCTCACAACCAAGCTTAAGGCCATATGAACACATCAATTTGAGGTGTATACAGCTCTCACAGACAAGCGTCAATGTGTACTGAGTAACAATTATACAATTAGAGAAGACCTAACTACCAATCCATATTATTAATAAGCCTAGTAAACTGCACTAAAGGATTATGTATTAATTGGTAAACAGGTATTATGTAATCCATTACCTTTGTAGCTCGTAACTTTTTTTATATCGTATTGTCCAAACGACGTATGTAAAACCCTTTACATAATAATAAAAATAGGTGTTTAAATTTCATTATTGTTTTTTTTATACTACTTAGAATGGCAAACAAGCTGACGGCCCACCTGTTGGAAAGTGGTAACCGTCGCCTACAGACATGAGCAGTACCGTGGACATAACAGAGTGTACTGTTTCGCCCATGATACCACCCATGCGTTGCCAATCCTGAGGATTCAGGTGTTATTCCTTTGTACCCTGTAAATTCACTGCCATATCGCACCTTTCAAACCGAAACACAGCCATGCAAACACAACTGCTTCACGGTTGAAACACGAATGGGGCAGAGGTACCCAAGCAATCGATTTTTGTACAAAATCTCCCTCTGGTAGTTTGATTAGATTTTGAAATCGTTTATCCGGAATTTCGATTATACGCCAGGTTTTATTTGATTCGAATAATCGAGATTCTTGTTTCTTATCCATATTACAAATAGATTTGGCTTATAGTTTTACGACCGGCCGCCTGCCTGACGTCAACCCTCTTTGGGAATGCATTTGTTGGTGGTTTCCGCCACCTGCGGTATGGAGGAAAGGATTGAGGAAAAAAGGAAGGGAACGTTGGAAATGCGGAAAGGAAATTAGTAAAAGAGAGGAATAATGGACTTATGTGGGAAAGGAAAGGGGGGACACTGCAGCGACTCGGGAGGCCGGGGTCGCATACCCGTATGTCCTTATTTTAGAATCGGACAGATTTCTAGAGAAGAACACCCCTGACGCTTGGTTTGCCACCTTTGTGGTATAAAAAAAAGAATAAATATGTCTGTTCTAATCTAAGCATACATCTTGATTTTTATGTAAGCTATAAATAAATAGTTAATATGGACTGCTAACGCATGGTGTTTCACCCCATCGTTTCAAGCGTCGGTGAAGCGTGAAACTTGACATTTTCATAGTAATGTGTATGGGAGGTCCTTACGTTGGTATTGTAGTCTAGGGACGGATTATACGCATTACATCGGAGGGAGGTGTTTTAAATTTCAAAACATACCAAGTTCTCGATCTATTTATTTATTTATTTAATTTATTTCCATCTATATTGATGTTGATTATTCAACTACCTTCAAAACTAAAGAGGTCCTATTTATTTTTAAATATTTTTCACCGCATATTTTGTTATGTAGTGGTTTTTATACCATTAATGAATATTTCACTAAAAAGCCAATGCACTTGACAACCTACACTAGAGATGCAATTGGTGCTTCTATTCTTATACACTACATATTAATATCATAGTTTGCCTTATATATATATATATATATATATATATATATATATATATATATATATATATATATTTATTTATTAATTTGGACTTTTCGAATAGGTTAAAAGTCTGTTATGCAATATTTTTTTTTTTAATAACAAACTTTTAACATATACGTTATTGGACCAGTATTTATTTATTTAATTTATTTTACACTTTATTGTACCATTTATAAAATAATAAATACACTTTGGGAGAGAATACAGAGAGGCAACAGACACCTTTCAAGGACACGACCTTCAGTAATGAATTGGACGAAGAGAGAGAGAGAGATACATACAATTAATTTTAATGAGAAGTAATATAAAAGGCGGCCTTATTGCTAAACAATCTTTTCCAGACAACTTTTGGGTAAAAAAATTATTAAAAAATTGTGAAAAAAGACAAAGGGTAGGTTAGTTACGCGCACTATTATATCTATACAAACATATATACATACATATAAACAAATATATACATATAAACATACACGTATTTAATAGCAATCATACAACGAGAGAGGATAAAAGTGGAAGGTGCAGAGAGAACACAGAAGAGGAATAACACCTGAATCTTCAGAAATGGCAACGCATGGTGGGTATAATGGGCGAAACAGTATACTCTGTTATGTCCATGGTACTACTCATGTCTATAGGCGACGGTTACCACTATCCATCAGGTGGGCCGTCAAGTCGTTTGCCATGTTAAGTTGTATAAAATATATATTAATAAATAACCAGTAATAACATGACCCCTTGTAACCATCTTGTTCTATGCGATTGATTTCCTCGCGTAGGGGATCGTTAAGGGGACGCCCGTGCGAATTCCCCTCTGTTTGCTCTGAAGAATTTACAAAACCTCTCCACTAATTTCGATTATTACAATTGAATAAATAAAACAATTGTTTTTTATTTATTTAATTAAGAGAATAGAGATAGAATAGAAATAATCTTTACTCGAATAGACTAGAGTATATTCGCTTTTAAAAGGCCGGCAGCACACCTGCAATACCGTTAGTGTTGCGGGCGGCGGTAGTCACTTACCATCAGGTGAGCCGCCTGCTCGTTTGCCCCCTGTGTTGTTTACAAGCTCTTTTAAAACGTTGATTTTTTATGATTGTACATGCTGGGTTCGGAAAGTTATTATCTATTGAGAGGAGTCCGCGAGAAACTCAACAGTTACTCTTTTAAATCTCTGTTGACATTATGTGTATTTATTTAAATGTACTATGTCTAAAATTACATGGTCGTTAGAAGCCCGCGCATGATCGACTAACACCGTGCACGCTTGTCATTCAAACAATCGTTTAGTTTGTAATAGGTTTTGTTCAATAAGTGTTTTTTAGCGTAGTCGAAGCAGTGGGAAACAGTTAGTGAATTACACGTAAGTTTAACTGGTAGTTATTACATTAAAACATAATATTTACTTTTGAACCTTTTAACTAAATAATTTATTATCATTATTTAATTATTTTTA